GACCTTATTTGATTGCACTATAACTTTAATACGCGTAATAAATCTAAACTTGCTAAGTAACCTGCTTGCTTGGGTAGCAGCATCTTCCTGATTCATTGCAGACTATAAAAGTTCACTGCAAACATAGGCCTACCCCATTGATTCATCTCAGCGAACATTTTGCTGTAGTCGCCACGCTTGTCGGGCGGGTCAATAACCGTAATTTTTCATTACAATATTTTGGGTTCTCATCAGGAAGATACTGCTGCCACTCTCCTATTTAATCATCCCAGCATCCCTCTAATGAATATTCTTACACCGCTACTATACGGTAACACGGTAATATTCAAGACAACTCAAAGTAATAAAAAACTGCGGTTGCCTCTACCTGCCTGCCAAGCGTTGCAACTATGGCAAAATCCCACGTATTGGGCAATCTATGCGAGGCCTATGTTCAGCAGTGGACTAGGCTGTAATGGATGGATGTATAGAAGATATATATCTTATACGTGGTAGAGCTATGCCGCAGCTATATTACTGGTATAGTTGTAGCAAGAATGGGTCGGCTCGACCGGGGAAGGACCAAGCTCTCACAGAATACCAGCGTAAAATAGCAGCTTAACACTCCTGTGTTTCGTATGGTGAGTGTAGAGAACCGGAGACCCTTTTTACTGGAGAGGAGGCATTCCATCTTAGTCCTCACGGGTGACGTAAATGTAGATGTCTATGGGTCACAGCAACCATCGAGGGTGCTGTGACCTGATAGACATCAGGTGGACTGTGTACTCGTTTATCACCCTAATTCTATTTAAAAAAAAAAATAATCTACCAGGAGCACATGACCCACTGAGCGGTGAAATTATTAAATCAACAGAAACATTACCACTATGGCAAATATCCCCCCTATGAGGCAATCTATGGGGGAGGCCTATGTACAGCAGTGGACATAATAGGCTGTAACGGTAACACAAATTAATACTGTACTGCAATTTAGTCATAAGAATATTCCCTACAGTATTTCTATTCCTTCCTTTATATCTTCTATTTCCTATAGGCTGTAATGGATGGATGTCATAGAAGATAAACTACCAGGAGCACATGACCCACGGAGAGGTAAAGTTTTTAAATCAACAGTAGCATTACAACTATGGCAAAATCCCACGTATTGGGCAACCTATCGGCGAGGCCTATGTTCAGCAGTGGACTTTTATAGGGTGTAATGTTAAATTATATATTAAAAAAAATTCAATCATTTAAATGAAATTACACATAATGTTGACAATGTTACTGTATCGGATATGGCGAGATGCGATACACAAAACTTCCATTTATTAAAGATTGACGAAAGTACATGCCTCACAATAATACAACAAAACATTCGCAGTATCTCACGTAATATAGATGACTTCCTAGTTCTTTTAACGCAAATTAGAATACAATGTGATATTATTATTTTAACCGAGTGTTGGCTATTGTGTAATTCCATAATACCACAAATACCTGGCTACACATATTACAAATCTATAAAGACCTATAACCAAAACGATGGTATCGTAATTTACTACAAAAATAATATTGAGGTTTTAATTACGGAGCCCATGTTTGCTGAGGGAAACTGTGTGGTAATAAACACAAAAGTATTGCTATAGTTGCAATTTATCGTTCGCCTAGCTTTCAAAATGTAGAATTGTTTTTACAATCTTTAAACGTAATTCTTACGTCGTTGCCTTCCCATAAAAACTTATCTGTGATGGGCGATATAAATATAGATATAGTAAATCATACAACTGATAACAGATCAACTGAGTATCTTATCCTAAATGCATTTCATGGACTTCTTCCTGCTCACAATATGCCTACTAGACTCGGTGCTTGTTTAGATCACGTTATGTTGCGTTCAACTATGGCAGCCACTACAGTAGTATTTAATTCGACGGTAACTGACCATCAAGCTGTGATATTATGTTTAAACACCAAGCAAAAAAATAATTTAACATCTAGAACTCAAACAAAAATTGATTACGACAAAGTTAGATTAGAATTAGAACAAAATAACTTTGAATTTGTATTCAAATGTTCTAACGCAAATGAGGCTGCTACATTTTTTGTATCATATTTACAACAATTATTGATAGCGAATACAATTAAAGTTACAATCTCGAACCGTTTAAGACCTATAAAACCCTGGATTACATTAGGAATTTTAAAATGTATACGAAATCGTGATAATTTATTTAAAAAATATAAATCTTTTCCTGGCAATAATATCATAAAATTAACATATACAAGATATCGAAATTATTGTAACTCCATGATTAAAAAAGTTAAAATGGCTTATTATAGAGATAAAGTTAGTAAAGCAGGTAAAGATAATAAAAAGCTTTGGGAAACCATTAAAGAGATAACAAATACCACGAAAATGAAAACTGATTCTACTGAACTGCTTAACAGCGCCAAGAAACCTCAAGAGGCTATCAATTCGATTAATAATTATTTTGTGAATATAGGTAAACAGCTTGCTGATAATATTGCAGTTAAGGAAAGGGTTACAAGTTCTTTAGCAATTAGATCAACACGGAACTGTACGTCGTCCTTTGTAATACTCAACACTGACGAAGAAGAAGTTTCCAGACTTATCATGAGCCTAAAAAACAAATGTGCCAATGGATGGGACAATATCTCTAACTGTTTCATAAAAAACATTAAAGAATATATTGTTGGGCCATTGACATATATATGTAATCTTTGCTTTAAAGAAGGTGTATTTCCTCAAGTTTTTAAGCGGTCTATTATTCATCCAATTTATAAATCTGGAGACAGAGATAATGTCGGCAACTATCGACCGATTTCAATTCTTCCATGTTTTTCGAAAATAATCGAACGAATTATAAACAAACAACTCACGAACTACTTAGAAAGTAAAAAAGTACTATCCCCTAACCAGTTTGGTTTTCGGCAGGGCAGATCCACTGATGAAGCAGTACATAACTTAACAGATTACGTAGTTAGAAATTTGGACAAAAATAACAAAGTCATTGGAATTTTTTTGGATCTCGCCAAGGCGTTTGACACTGTTTCTACCTGCATTCTAATAGAAAAGTTGGAATTATGTGGTATTAGAGGAAAGCAACTTGCTCTATTTAAAGATTATCTCTGTAATAGAACACAATGCACTAAAATCGGAGATTACATTAGTCACGAGGCTTTAATTTCCTAAGGTCCCAAGGCAGCATTCTAGGTCCCACATTATTTCTCGTCTATATAAACGATCTCACTTCTATTCAGCTTCCTTATGGACATATAATATCATATGCTGATGACACATGCCTTCTTTTTTCTACAAATTCCTGGGGAGCTGTTCAGGATGCTGCGCAGATGGGACTTAATTTGATAAATGAATGGTTGCAAACTAATTTTCTTACATTGAATTCTGAAAAAACCAAATACATTGCTTTCACAATACGTAAAGAACGCCTTGATCATATTATCAATAAACCTCTGATCTCACACAAATGTCTCTCAAATATTAATATTAAATCATGTAAATGTAACAAAATAGAATTAGTCCATAACATTAAGTATCTTGGTGTAATAATAGATTCCAACCTTTCTTTTAAAAATCATATCGAAGTATTATCCAATAGACTATCTAAATTAATATACATATTCAAAAATGTACGCCATGTGCTAGATAAATCAGCTTTAACACGTATCTACTATGCACTAGCGCAAAGCCTTCTTACTTATTGCATCACCTCCTGGGGCGGTGCTCCTAAAACAGTTATGAAGCGCGTAGAAATATCACAAAGGGCCATTTTAAAAGTTTGCGGGTTCTTCTCTTATAGACATCCAACTGAACTTCTTTATCGATACTGGCAGGTATTAACGGTACGTCAGCTGTTTATTCTCTATACATTGTTGAAGCAACACAGTGAAAATACCTATGATCCCCATAAATTTGTAGGAGTTAGACGTAAAAATACAGTTTGCGCAACATTTGCAACAAAGAAGACATATACAAAAAAATTCTTTTGCTACTTGGGTGGATTCTTATACAATAAAATAAATGAAAAATTATCTATATATTCTAACAATAAATATGATTGCAGAAAATACGTACATGACTGGTTACTGAAATTAGATTATGATTTAACGGAATCGCTCATATCAAGATAAATATAATGTACACACACACACACACACACACACACACACACACACACACACACACACACACACACACACACACACACACACACACACACACACACACACACACAAACACACACATGCGCGCGCGCGCACATACAATACACTACACTAATATAAATATATAACACCATACATACATACATACATATATGTATTTACACATTTGATATCCTAATACACTCTTAATTAGTATTTTATCCTGGATCTTCGTTGTAATTATATTTCATTACAATATAAGAATAACTTTTTTATCTATCTATCTATTGTGTTCCTAGAATAATTTCATACAATGTCATAGCATTCGAGGGGTGAGAACCTGGTGACTTGTACTACAGGCTTATATATGCCTACTTCAGGCACCAGCTTCTCACATAATAAAATTCTGTTTATGTACTACTAGATTTACATTGTTGTACTTTATGTTATGTGAGAAGATAAATAAAGACTTTATTATTATTATTATATATGTGGTAAATCTACGCTGCAACTATATTGTGGTTGTAGCACGAATGGTTAGGACTACGCTCTCACAGAATACCAGCGTAAAATAGCAGCTTCATGCTGCTGTGTTTCGTATAGTGAGTGTAGAGAACCGGAGACCCTCTTCACTAGAAACAAGGCGTTTCATCTTAGTCAAGTGAATTTCGATTCTTAATTAAAGATAGATGTAGATGTCTATGGGTCACAGCAACCGCTTACCATCAGGTGGACTGTGTGCTCGTTTGTTATCCTTATTCTATAAAAAAAAATGCCAAGCCCAACAATGGACTACTGAGCGGTTTATTGTTCTGAATAAAAAAAAATGTTACCTGAACATACGTGACCATATCGCTAAGTTCCTTCGCGATCTGATTGCTCCTCTTCCTATTTCCGTGTTTGATACTCCCGCACGCTTCGCCGTCTCCCTCGCTCCTGCGGAAACTCTGGTAGAGCGAGAGAGACGTCCGACCAACTTTCTCTTCCATCGAGTTGAGTATCTTGTGGAGTTCTTTCTCTGTAAGATTTAAATAATTTATGTACGTTGTGATTACATATTAAGACGAATACTAGTCAGGGATTTTATCGCATTTAATTTATTTTTTAACCAATTTCAAAAAGGAGGAAGTACTCAATTCGACTGCGTCTTTTTATGTGATTTACCTCATACTTTTATTTCTAGGTTAACCGATTTCGATGATTCTTTTTTTATTTGTAAGCTTCTCATGTGGTCCTATATTAATGTGATCAAGGTCTGACCATCAGTGTTTGAGTTACAAGTCGCGGCACGTAAGTCTAGCGCTGAACGAAACGTGGAGGGGACGCGCATGAATTGAATTACATGAATGCGACTGGAGAGCCAATCGGCGCGTGCAAACGATACGCACAAGCCAATCAGCGCGACTTATGTGCAATAAATGCCATCGGTGGCACACATTTTTAATTTTACCGATTGTATTTATACTTATTTCAATTCCGGGTGTTTTGGGTGATTTTTGCAGCACCCATGGTCACAGAGTTTCTACCCCTCCTTCCGTCAATAACAAATACAAGTAAAATTAGTTAAATTAAACGCGATAAGATCCGAAACGAAAAACATTACGTTGTTTTTTATAGTCTGTGTGTTTTAGGTTATTTCTCTGAAACAGTTCGACATAATACCGGAGTTTTGGCGGGAACTTTACCTGCGGCGGTTTGCTGCTCCTGTATTATTGTTTAAATAATGGTTTGTAAGTGGAGTGGATTTCGATATGTAAAAGTGGTGCGATTTTGTGTATTAATTGTCTACGCATGTGAAATATTACTGGAAACAGTGAAACAAGTGCTCTGATGGTGATGTGATTCTCAAGATAATGTGTCTGTCTGCATAGACGCCTTTAGATACCATCGCCAACGTCAAAATCTCCCAAGAACTGTACAATGTGACGCATCAACATATTGTGAAGCAGTGAACTATGAAGGATAATTACAAAAGACAAGGCTGTATGGCATAGTTCCTTTGCCTGCTCTCTCGGGCGAATAATAAAAACAACAACAATCGACATAATACCACAGATAATACACTATAGAGTAGACATAGGTAGTATCCACCTAATCGTAAGTGGTAACTGCTGCAACAGCTTCAAACATCGAAGGCTATATACTAACCAGCTTAAAATAGCAGCTTAATGCTGCTGTGTTTCGTATGGTGAGTGTAGAGAACCGGAGACCCTTCTTACTGGAAACGAGGCATTCCATCTTATTTGACACGGGTAACAACGCATCTGCATTTTGATTTGTAATCAGGTGGGATGTCTGTTGGCTTTTTACCATTCTTCTACAAAGAAATATAACGTATAACAGAGGTTCTGGGTGTGCATTTTGGAATATTAGTAAAAGTAGTAGTAAAAGATATAGTAACTTAAATATTTTTTTCAAACCAATCCATTTGTTACGAATATGGACTCACCATCAATGTCTTCGTCATCCTCATCATATTCCTCATCAGAGAAATATTCGGTGAGGGAACTGCCCGCCGACTGGTTGGACATTATAGAGCTGGTGCGGTTGCTTTGATCTGGAAGTGACGCGCTGGTGTGACGCATGCCGTTGGATCTGTCGACGAGGTGTACCAGAGTGTAATGAAACTACAATGCTGTGTTTTGAAAAACCGAGTGGAATCCGGTGGCCTTTGTACTGGTCACGGGACGTTTCATTTTAATCCTCAAGGGTGACAAAGCATCAGCATTTTGATTCTTGATCGAGTTGTGTATGATGTGATCACGTATCAAGTATCCACTTACCATCAGGTGGACTGTGTGTTCGTTTGTCACACTCACTTCTTTTTGTCTTTTTAACAGTGGTAGAGCCATGCTGCAGCTATATTACCGATATTTAGCTCATAATAGTTTATTACAATGTAACTAATTTAAGTATCTGTAATGTAACAGTCGTTGGTAGACCAAATAAATAAATAAATAAATAAATAAATATAGTTGTAGCACGAAATGGTCGTCGGGTCGACCGTGGAAGGACCACGCTCTTACAGAATACAAGCGTAAAATAGCAGCTTAAAACTGCTGTGTTTCGTATGGCGAGTGTAGAGAACCGGAGACCCTTTTGAATGGAAACGAGGCATTTTTTTTATAGGATAAGGTGACAAACGAGCACACAGTCCACCTGATGGTAAGTGGCCACTGCGACCCATAGACATCTATCCTCAATAAAGACTCAAGATGCAGATGCGTTGTCACCCGTGAGGACTAAGATGGAATGCCTCTTTGCCAGTAAAAAGGGTCTCCGGTTCTCTACACTCACCATACGAAACACAGCAGCGGTAAGCTGCTATTTTACGCTGGTTTTCTGTGAGAGCGTGGTCCTTCCCCGGTCGAACCGACCCATTCGTGCTAAAATATACCACTAATATAGCTGCAGTATGGCTCTACCACGTATAAAGTCTTAAATCTTAGTCCTCACGAGTGACAACGTAACTGCATTTTGATTCGTCATCGAGGATGGATGTATAGATGTCTATGAGCCACAGCATCCACTTACCATCAGGTGGACTGTGTGCTTATTTGTCACCCTTATCGTATAAAAAATTTCGCGCTTTATATGAAAAAGTTAACAATTGTTTAATTCTTATGCTAGTCAAAGTGCAGACAAGTGCTAACTAAAAATAAGAAAGCAACAGAGTTTTGATTACGATGTTTTTAACACCCGACGGAAACAGTCTTACACGTTTGTTGTGTGTATCTGTGTGTCTGTCTGTGGCATCACAGCTCCTGAACGGATGAACCGATTCTGATTAAGTTTTGTTTTTTGTTTGAAAGGTGCTTTAATCAAGAGTGTACTCAGGTGTGTTTCAAGAAAATCTGTTCAGCGGCTTGGAGAACATCAGCTCCTTTTGTTTCGGGGGTTTTGAAAATTTTTCATTTGAGTTGTCCTTCACCGCCCAGCACGTGGTAAATACGTCCTTAAAGTTGCTTTTACCAATTTCATCGTTGCCGGCTGGGTTGTTCGCGTACTGTGAATGTACTAACGAGCGCTTAGCTCTGAGCTGCCACACTTCAATAAATAGATTAGCACAACTCACCTAAAAGCCGTGACCAGAACTCCACCGTAACCCTGTGCAGAACTAGCTCCAGTCAAGCCGATAGTCAGGCTGGACTCCACGGGCAGCAGTTTCTTATTCTTGATCAGTACCTGGTGGTAATGTTGCATATATTTTTATTTATTTTATATGTTACTAGCTGATACTTCGTCTGCGTTGCTTGATATATTAACAAAGTTTTCGACGTATATATAAAAGGGTTAAGGTTAAAGCTACAGCCTATATACGTCCTACTGCTGGGCACAGGCCTCCCCTCATTTCTGAGAGGGTTTTAGGGCAAGGAAGTGTCCACCGCGCTGCCCCAAAGCGTGTTGGCGAACTACACATGTTTTTGAAATTTTTATTTTTTATTTCTCAGTCATGCAGATTTCCTCACGATGTTTTCCATCACCGCCGAGCACATGGTAAATCAGCACTTAAAATTGCAATCAACAATTTCATTGGTGCCGACGGGGATCGAACCCGGGTTGCTCGCGTACTGTGAAATTTACATCACATCATCGCCAGTTACTTTTAGGACCACTAGAGTAAAGAGGTCATTATTCCATTTCGTTTTTCTTTTCGTAATTATTTTTATATATTATTTGTTTGTTCGTCTTTTATGTGTGCTATACCACATTAATACGATTACGGTGAAACTTTATTTATCCTACTTTATTTGAGGTTGACTGCAGGATCCACAGGCAGCAGTAGACATTTATGATCAGGTGAACTGTAGATACAATTGTCACTTCAGTTTCATAAAAGAAAATAATGTGCGCACGCCCGTTACGGCTTGTGACAATAATTAAAAATTAAAAATGTTGTACAACCGACTTCAATATATATTATTAAGAATAACTCAAAAAATATTAGTCAAACTTTGATCAAATTTATATGGGACCACATGGGAAGCACCAGCTTTCAAATAAAAAAAGAATCATCGAAATCGGTTAACGTAGAACAAAGTTATGAGGCAACACACATAAAAAACATACAGTCAAATTGAGTACCTTCTCGTTTTTGAAGTCGGTAGAAAAAGGAAAAAAGAGGCTTTGCGTTTGCGCCTCATGCCAAGCAATACTAGTATAATATTTAAAAAAAAACTTTTGTAATAATTCCAAAGGATTTTTGGCGGGAACTTGACTAGTGGCGGACAGCTGCTCCCGTATTATTGTTTAATTGGTTCGAAGTGGTTTTTGCTATGTAAATATGGTGCGATTTTGTGTATTAAATATCTCATGTGAACTATTGGTGGAAATGACGAAACAAGTGCTCCGATTTTGATATATATGTAATAAGCCCCAAGTATTATGTCCTCTTAGGCGCCTTAAGAATTTGAAATAAGTAGGTACTGTCGTCATCGACTATCCGTTGAGTTTTGCTGTCATCAAAATCTTTCAAGAACTTCTCAATGTGAGTCATCAGCATGTTGTAAAGAAGTTTTTTAAAAAGAAAATATTGTTTAAGATATTTTCTTATTTCTTGACACTGGCAAAAGTATAACCGTATGAGTCCATACATAAGCAGAAAAAAAAATTCAAAAATCTATAAAGGAAGAACGTTACCTTGTACTTAAGCTGCTCGGGACTGGGTAGACGGGGCTCGTCCGTATAGTCCACTTCGAACAAAAACGACGTTACCAGTTGATCTCCGAACACTGCCTGGATGAAGACGAAGCTAGTGTACTATGTGAGGTTGCCATTTTATAATCAAACTATTGCTTACTAACTAATATTGCAGCTATATTACAGTTGTGGCGGCGCTGTCGTCGCGCCACAAGCGAAACAAATCGAAACCTAAATCGCGCTGTCAAAGTTCCGTAGTAAAAAGCAATATATTATATAGAATAGCTCCGAACTCGGAGAGTTGGCCGCTCATCGGGCATATAACACCTTGCCCGGTGGCAAATCTCCCCCGCAAATCTTCCACGGCTAAACAGTTGCAGAGGATAAATGTAGATGTCTATGGGCCATGTGGTGGACTGTGTGCTCGTTTATCGCCCTCATTCCATAAAAAACCGGCAAAGTGCGAGTCGAACTCGCGCACCGAGGGCTCCGCACAAATCTGTAGGTATATAAGTTTAAAATTATTAAAAATATTTTTATTATATGCTGTAACTAAAAATTTATGCTTTTCACAATTTTTCCTTTATCTGTGCTATAAAACGTTGCTTCGTACCAAATTTAAAGATTCTGAGTTCACGGGAAGTACCCTGTAGGTTTTGATTCCCTTGCGAATATAGAAAATTTACGGCATAAACGGCTGCATCTTTTGATTGCGTTGGCTTAGAAGTTTGTTTTTTCACAGCTCTAAGGGACAGTAGACTTGAGTGTTTGATATGAATTTCAGCTTAATATCTCCACGCGTTCCTGAGAAAAAGGGTCTTGATAGACAGATAGACAGACAAACAGACTGATAACAAAGTGATCTTATAAGGGTTTCGTTTTTCCTTTTGAGGTACGGAACCCTAAACAATGCAAAAGTATTTTTCAAATTTATTTATTTTTTATTGACATATTTAACATTTATTTCAAAAAGTATTATATATTTAATCTCAGCTTCAAACTAAAATCTGTTCCACAAAAAATGTCCCGCAGGAATATGCGTACTACAATGTAATTTATGGAACAACGAGTATATAATCACTACTACACATTTTAGTATGGAACTAATAATTATATTTTTTTTATTAAATTAGAGTGACAAACGAGCACACAGTCCATCTGATGGTAAGTGGTTGCTGTGGCCCATAGACATCTATCTATCTTCGTTTGCGAATTAAAATGCAGATAAGTTCTCAGCCGTGAGTACTAAGATGGAATGCCTCTTTGCCAGTAAAAAGGGTCTCCGGTTTTCTACACTCACCATACGAAACACAGCAGCATTAAGCTGCTATTTTGCGCTGGTATTCTATGAGGGCGTGGTCCTTCCCCGGTCTAGCCGACCCACTCGTGCTATAACTATAATATTAATATAACTGCAGCATGGCTCTACCAAGTATAAAAAGAGGGAAAACGTCAAATTTCGCGTAGATTTTGGCGACAGAACTCCCGATACCATCCACACCATCTGGATGATTGGCGGTCCACCACTGTGCGATTTAGAAGATGTTTTCTTCCTCTCACAACTTCCTTGTGCTATCGATTACCACCTGCGATTTTTCCGGACCGATACGAATTAGGGACCTTCGAGAAAAGAGCCTACTCCTTTTTAAAAGGCCGGCAACGCATCTGCGATTCCCCTGGTTCCCCTGGTGTTGCAGTTGTTCATGGGCGGCGGTAGTCACTTACCATCAGGTGAGCCGCATGCTCGTTTGCCCCATCTCCTATATGAAAAAAAAAACAATTACATTGGTGCCGGTGGGGATCAAGCCCGAACTGTGTAATTTACAGTTGATACTTAGCCCTAGAGTAAACACGTCTCTCGAAAACCCTTAGCTACCGCGTGTGTATCTTTATCTTTATATATATAATTCTTCTGTCGTGTGTATGTGACTGAACTCCACCTAAGCGGTTGGACCGCATTTGGATAACATTTTTCCTGTGTTTGAATAGGTCCCTGGATGGTGGGAATCACGATTAGGCCCGGCAGGTGGTGCTGATGTCGATATCCAGAAATCACCCGTGCAACACATTGGCAGATATGTATTATACGTATTTACCAAAAATTAAATACGAAATGACATACGCAAGCATTGATGTAATATGTACTACATACTAGAAGAGACACCGCGAACGAAATCTGTAAGGCAGTGTGGGGCGCTTGGAAAGCGGCATAAAGTAAAATTTTAGGGCACCGACTAAGTTTGAGGTCATGGGCTCTAATGCGTTTTGCTAACGACCAAGTCTCGGCGTCTCTTCTAGTATAGTATACGGCAACTAACTTGGCAAGGTTTTCGCGTAGTGGCGGAAGTCGACTGGTCAACCAATCACGCGCTCTGAAGTCGACTGGCCAACCAATCGGGCGCTCGGAACGTTGCTACTTCGTTGATAATCAAAGAGATCTAAATACGTAATTCTGCGCATATAACGAATCTTGCCAAATTAGACACCGGCAACTATACGTAGTATTAATTCAATGTGCAAGCACCTTTGGCTGCAATGCACTGCGATCGTCAACATTAATATACAGGATTATTTTCAAATAACTGACCAAATTTGCAGAGAATGTTAAGAATAAGTAAAATAGGCAAATGGTGAAGAAAAATTTATTACAAGAAAAAATCTTAAACATTCGGGCCTTTTCATCTTCTAAATTCAAAATGCGTGGTAATGCATTATTTTAACTGAAACATCTTAACATCATATCATTTTAACTGAGTCACACACATTCATAAGGGGCGATCGGTAGACAAAAACGTTGTTGTTGCCATCGATCACTAGTTTTACCACTTTTAACAGTGGTAGGGCCACGCGGCACCTTATGCTGTCGCACGGATGGGCCGGCTCGAACCGGGGTGGTACCACAACCTCACAGAAAACCAGCGTGAAGTAGAGGTTTACCTCTGCGTTTCGCTTGGTGAGTACAGGTGGCCGGAGGCCCTTTTTACTGGAAATGAGGCATTCCATCTTAGTCCTCACGGGTGACAACGCATCTACATTTTGATTTGTAATAGATAGATGTAGATGTCTATGGGCCGCAGCAACCACTTACCATCAGGTGAACTGTGTGCTCGTTTGTCACCCTTATCCTATAAAATAAAAGTTTTTTATTAGTGATCGATGGTTGTTGCCCATAAATCACATTAATTAAATTTGAAATAATTTCAAATAAAATTAGAAGCCTTTATTTACTCGTATTTTCAAAAACTGCAAACTGCTTGGCTACTTTTTGACAAATAACCCTGTATATCAGGTACCTCATAATATAAATGTGTGCATGAACTGACCTCAAACGTACTGGCCATCACTTGCTGCTGCGGCAGACTGCAATGGTTTTCGATGCTGAGGATCAGGGGGTATGGAGAAGCCACGAAGGCACTTCTGTTGAAAAATTAGCTTTGGTCATCACTGAAAATCAGCGGTATGGTATATTATATAGATCATTTTATTAATTTATTTGGTTCATCAGTATGTTACACTCATGCTAATTTCTAAGTGCAAATTTTAATAATAGACAAACCCCGTATACATAGTGCTTACAGTATTTTATACAAACTTAACTTTATAAGATACTAGCTGATCCCCGCGACTTCGCACTTTCGTGGTGTTCTTTTCGCGGAACCTTAAAATAAAAGCAGCTCAAGTTACTCCTTATAACATCAGCTATCTGCCAGTGTGTATAAATATTGACATTAATATTTATACGATACTAACGTCACTCTATTGTTTTGCCTTCCCGGAACCCCATTCACTAACACTTAAACTTTATGGTATGGTATTAAAGTTCAAATTGACTTTTAAGTATTATTACGAATCTTTTGTATGGGAATAAAGAAAAGTGTTGTTGTTAGACTTTTTCAGGCAATTTTTTTTAAATTTTTCTCTGCGTAAGAACCATCTTCGTACTTCAAGGAATATTATAAAGAAAAGAATTAGCGAAATCGGTTCAGCTGCTCTCGAGATTTGCGCTTAGCAACACATTCAGCGATTCATTTTTATATTATAGAAGATACGCACTACATATAAAAATCTATTGCTGTTCGTCAGTCTCGCTAAAACTCAATAACGACTCGACCGATTTTGATGAAATTTTGTGTGTGTGAATAGGTCCCGAGATGGTTTAGATTCATTTGTACCCGGTAGATGGCACTGTTGTCAAGATTCAGAAATCACCCGTGCGAAGTCGGGACGGATCGCTAGTACTTAATAAAACTAAAATTCATGCCGAGTCATGACAGTTTTTGACAACATGACGTAGGTACAAAGTCATTTTTTTACATTTTGTACAGCTTTTTCATATATTTGTGTATTGCTGTGTTTTGTACGTCTTTAGTTAGTGACAAAATCAGTCAAAACAAAGTGTTTCTTTTTTTTTATAAATATTTTTTTATTAACTAAAGTTACTAAAATTACACTTTCCTAATGTTCGCGTAACTAGCATTCGCCGTGTAAGGTGTAAGAATATCCACTATCCCATTTAATTCTGTTACCACCTATTGTCGGTAAGAGGCAACGGAGGTGCTGTTTAATTTTAAGTCTGCCTAAGTTCTCAAAGAAAAGTGCGCGAAACTTTTCCTTAGTTTTTCAATCAACAAGAAACGTTTCGTATCGATAAAGTGTCGTATTTCATCGGGTTAAAGGTTATACTGTCGAAAACAACGTTCGCGGTTAACAAAACAAAGAACTAGTTTTCTCGACAGCTCGCAGTCGACTGAAGCAGTTACGGAGAATTGACCGTAAATTAATGCGCAATCTATTACAGTACACGATCCAGTTTACCGTCAAGTTTGAAGCGGCGTCCGGTAAACTTGACGGTGTATGGCTATCAGTGTGCATGACAAGTCTACTTGAAGCAAAAACTGTTTTTCAATTCTGCCGACTTGACTAAGTGTACGTTACATAAACTTGAACGTGTGTATGAGCGGTCAAGTATGAACGACGTTAGTAGGAGCAATAAGCGAGAGACGCCATGATTTCAACTGGTGCGGCATCATGCAAACTTGATAGCGAACTTGAACGTGAGTGGTCTGTCTATATGGATGCACTGCAAACTGGACGCCGCTTCAAGCGCGCTGCAAACTTGACGGTAAACTGGATCGTGTATGGTATCCATTAGTGGTGCGTCTAGTAGTATAGCAAAAAAATCTTTGGATTAAGGATTTCGTAAGAGGTGACTTTGGGAAGAGTCATAAAGATTGCCAGTTCATCTGTCTGGAAGAGGCACATGTCCAGCGATGGATGGATGAAGAAGATGTAATAAGCACACAACCTAGCTATTGTCTTCTCGACCCGTCTGAACGGTATTCTGGTGGTGAAGGTAAAAGGCAGAAAAGGATTTCACATCCAAAAGTTACACATCAAGGCCCATATTAATAAACGTTACTCAGCTCAAGTACACGCACTTGAGTACAATCTTGAGGTTATGATCTTATTAATAAACATATCTCAAGATGCTGTTTAGGTTTACGATATTAGCTGAGTGCCACACTAATTAATAAACGAAACTCGACTCTCAAGTGTGTACTTGAGTGCAAGTCACAGAACCGTATTCCTAAGTACAGCGTTTTGAGATACTGTTTTTATGTGTTTATTAATTAGCAACGATCTTGAGATGCTGATATCGTAATGAGGGCGTATCAAATGATTACGCGCTTGAGTTCGTCGTTGAGTTTATTAATTACGTTTATTAGTACGGGCCCAAGACTCATTTGAGTTGATCTCCCGTGGGTGTCGTAAGAGGTGACTTTGGGAAGAACCATAAATATCATCAATCCGTCTGTCATGAAAGCACATGTCCAGCAGCGGATGAATGAAGATTTTTTTTTATATAAATACTAGCGATGCTATTAACTACTCCTGTACTTCTGGTAAGCTTAAAATGCTTATGTTAGGAGTGGCTCACGACAGTAGTTGAATGACGGATTCGAACCTACGACCTTTCGAGTTTGCGGTCCGCATATAAGGCTACTGTCGCTGTAAGAGGATGTAATAAAGAAGTAACCTTACCTAGCTATAGTCTCCACTACCCGTCTGAATGGGATTTTGGTGGTGAAGGTGTGCCCGTGATAAATCACTGGGCTGCCGTCGTCGCCGTCCCAGCAGTCCAGCTCGACACATCGGCATCCCGTGAGGAGGACCTATAGAATAAAATGATCAGGGATGAGCGTATGTCGCGTATTTATAACCCAGCTATAAGGAAGTATGGGTAATAAGCAACCGGGCTTAAATCACGCTAGCAAAGTTTCCGAAAACTTCGTATACGTGTAATAGTAATGTTCTTCAGACCGGATTTCAAGGTCACGGTGACTGTCATCTGCGCATGACAGGATTATAGTGCACGAGTGTGTGAGTGTGTTCTATAGGACGGTAATCCATCCGGCGCAGGACCAACGGCTTTACGTGCTTTCCGAGGCAATGGGGTGCAACACCGCCATGTTCCTGGCTTCGGGCAGCTTCTGCGAATTTACTCAAAAACTATTGGTCAGACCTTGATCAAATCTATATGGGACCACATGTGAAACACCAGCTTTCAAATAAAAAAAGAATCATCGAAATCGATTCACCCAGTAAAAAGTAATGAGGTAATACACATAAAAAAATAATATACAACCGAATCGAATACCGGCTTCTTTTTGAAGTCGGTAGAAAATTGAAGAGTTTGTTTGTAATGTCAAAATAACAGCTTTTTATTAAATGCATATGATAGTATGTACGGTACTTATAACAAAAACAATTTTTAAAATTTTTGTCTGTCTGTCCGTCTGTCTGTCTGTATGTTCGTCTGCTTATTCCGATTAATCTCCGAAATGGCTGGACTGATTTTCACGGGAATTTCATTGGCAGATAGCTGATTTTCTAAGGAGTAACTTAGGCTACTTATATTTCAGAAAAAGAATTAGAGTTACGTGCAAAAATTAAAACACACGCACACGAACACGCAGTTACATGCAGGCACAGTCGCGGGGAGTAGCTGGTTTCCAATAAATAAAAAATCTAATAAGTGATTTTTATAATATAATTATTATTAAATACGCATGATTAAGGGTAACTCAAAAACTAATGGTCAGATCTTGATCAAATTTATATGGGACCACATGAAAAGCACCAGCTTTAAGTAAAAAAAAATCATCGATATCGGTTCACCTAGAAAAAAGTTCTGAGGTAACACACATAAAAATGCAGTGGATTTGAGAACCTCCTTCTTTCTTTAAGTCAGTTAAAAAGAGCAATAACCCGGCTGTGTTTAAGTTCCCACTAAAATTCCAAAAATGTTAACAAAAAAAACCAGTCAAATGCGAGTCGGACTCACGCATGAAGGGTTCCGTACTATCACACACGTTTCTAGCGGGGAGCCTCCTTTAATTTTTAATTTATTTAAATTTGTTTTTATAGCGGCAACAGAAATACACATTCTGTGAAAATTTCAACTGTCTACCTATTACGGATCATGAGATACAGCCCGCTGACAGACAGACGGACTATCGGACGAACAGACAGGGAACGCTTAATAGGGTCCTGTTGGTTATCTTTTGGGTACAGAACCCTAAAAACTAACGATGTCTTATATTTACGCGAACACTACATATTGAATAAAACTATTTTATTCAATGTATTAGTGTTCGCGTATGTTTGTATATTTGTTTGTAACCGACTCTTCTAAATTTAACAAAATGTAGTTGAATTGAGAATCTCCTCCTTTTTTAGAAGTCGGTTAAAATGGCTAAATGGCGTGCAAATAACCCGCTCAGCCCAATATAAGACAGCTATTTCGATATTACAGATGGACACTTTAATTTGATTTATATGTTTAGATAGATTAGCTTTTACCCGCGACTCTCAGACCCGAATATTTTTTTATTACTGAAATTATTTTATCTAAAAGTAGTAGAACGCTCTAATTCGATAAACGTCTATAGACTATATTAAAATATTTGTTTCGCTCATCGTAAACGTGCAGATTTTTCACCCTGGCTCTTAAATCATTCTAAGCAAGCTACGTAGAGAGTTGACCATGGGAAAAATATGACTTAAAGTGTTGGTGTCCGTTGCGGTCCAACGAATCTCCTGCGTTGAAGCCGTAGTTCTTTGTCTACGGTTGGAGCGCACCGGAGATTTTTTTTAATCTAAGGGCAAATTAGTAAATGAACCGGCAAAGATCTATTGCGCATGCTCTACGTTATTGATTTGGGTTAGTATGGGATTAGTTCAGACTCTGGCCGCTTGGGCGTAGTAACGTTGATAAAGTTGATGTATACTTAAATAATATTTATTTAAATGTAAATAGCGACATATTTAAAGTATTTATATTTAACTAATAACGAATTTTAAATTTGAGAACGCGTTAATAAATTGACATAATATCATAAAAAACATAAACTCAATCATAAACTCAATCATAAACAAAGCAAAGACAAAAGTCAAATCTAAACGTCAATCATTTCCATTTTGTTGTTTTTTTGCATTAATCTGTGGTTGTTTTCATTTCAACTTCAACTTGAGAAGCCGGTTTGAAAATATATCTCACTCTCACAGTTTTTGTATTTTCTCAAGTTTTGTGCAACAATGAAGGAAAACAACAGTGATGTTGACACCAGGAACGTGGTCAAAAACAGGGAATTGTTATATCGGATGATTATAAGGTAACTACCGTGAATTTAACATTTTCTCGTTTTGTATTTCTCGTTCAAATTACTAATTTGTTTATAGCTTATTTAAAAGTAATATAAATAGTGGCTAAATAAACTAAGAAACGGTATGGGTACAATTTGAATGGGTTTTCATTTCGGCATTGTTTATATTACGTTAAAGAGGTTATGTTTTCGTAACAGACACAGTTCAGATAATTATACTTAATTACTTATTTCATCTTCTATTTTTTTAATTTTTTGTTTTTATATTAACCATAATATTATCTTGAGTTAACATTTTTGAAAATTAAATACCAAGAAAGACGGCTTTTATTATGGTCTAAGGTCTATATGTGATTGTATGTATACATCTGTTTCCATAAGGTTACTACACGAGTTATTGTACAATATTTATATTAACTGTATATTAACTATTAAAGAAATTTTCGTACTACAAATAGCGTAGCCTATATTTGAAGAACGAAAACTACCTTTGCCAAACATCAATAATGAAACAATAAACTTTCATTTCATTACATAAAACCCCAAGCAGATACTAACATCCAAGCATCATCCTTATTGAAATAAGGATATTTTAAAATCAAGGTTTTTGTTGTCAATCAAATCCAATGTAAACATAGTTATCTGGAGTATTGTCACAGACTACAGATTTCTCGCAATATTGGTATTTAAAATCACAGTTTAAGAATCGAAAGCTTAATAATGTAAAAGATATTTTTTTATAGATTAAGGGTGACAAATAAGCACACAGTCTGCCTGATGGTAAGTGGATGCTGTGGCCCATATACATCTACATCTATCCTCGGTTAAGAATTAAAATGCAGATGATGACTAATATCACTCACCATATGATACATTGCCGCATTAAGCTGCTATTCTCCACTGATATTCTTTGAGTGCGAGATCCTATTCAGGTCAAGCTGACCCATATCCGCAGGAATAATATAGCAGCAGCATGGCTCTGGTGAGTGTAGAGAACTGAAGACCCTTTTTACTGAATAGGAGGTATTCCACCTTAGTCCTCAGGGGTGACTATGTATCTGCATTTGGATTCTTAATCGAGAATAGATGTAGATGTCTATGAGCCACAGTATCCACTTAACAAACATAATATTGTTTCTTACAGCCAACTGTATTATGATGGATATCAAGCAATAGCGACTACATTGTCAGCAGCAGTCCATGCGGATCCACCATGTCCTCCCAGCGACAGGTATTGTTACACTGCAACATCTTCTAGTTTTTACGGTACAATAGTAAATTTTTTTGTCCTTATATTGCTAAGTCAAAAATTAACTCTGATTAAAAAGTATACACTTATTTCAAACAACCAAAAGGAATAAAATTTTTACGAATTATTATTTTTGAGATAGATTTATGGATAAACATCAATTTTTTACGTGGTAGTGCCATGCTGTAGCTATATTGTGGTTGCAGCACAAATGGGTCAGCTCGTCTGGGGTGGGACCACACTCAGAACACCAATGTAAAATAGCAGCTTAATGCTTCTGTGTTTCGTATGGTGAGTGTAGAGAGCTGGAGACTCTTGTTATTGGATACGAGTCATTCCATCTTCGTCCTCAGAGGTGACAACGCATCTGCATTTTGATTCTCAATAGAGGTTAAATGTAGATCACTATGAGCCACAGCATCCACTTATAATGAGGTGGACTGTGTGCTCATTTGTCACCCTTATTCTATAAAAAAAATTAAATCAAATTTGTTTGTACAATAGGCTACTAAATGTAATGATGGTGGGCCTCCAACATGAGCCTGATAGAAAAGATAGACTGGCAGCCTCTAGCGGTGCCGAACATTTGCTGGGAACAACAGGTTTTGGTGAGTACATAGTTAAAGAAAATAGAGAAAGAGTTTAAGAAGAAATTGCTTACTAAAGTAATTTAGTACATACTTTCTTCTCTCAAATCTGCTTCCACTAGTCCTCTTATATATTGTTGATATCTATATATAATTCTTCTGTCCGCTTGTATGTGAAGCCTCCTAAACGGCTGGACCGATTTTAATGAAATTTTGTGTGTGATTAAGTTGATTTGAGTACGACTTAGATTCACAATTGGACCGGTCGGTGGCGCTGTTGTCCCAGAAACCACCTTTACTAGATAATTTTTGCTTAATAAAAAGAGGGTGGTGCTATCAAAACGGACTCCTATCCTAGGCCAAAAAAGAGTTCCACTAACTAGTAAATTATTTCAATTTGAAGCCTATTGAATCGACTCTTTTTACGGCTGTCATCCGCCTTTTCCTCATTTTTGGGTCCTCAGGCACATAAAAAAAGAGTTTATCAGATGTTTTAACTTTGATGTTTGAATTGAAGCACTGAGGCACGATACAGTATTTTTATCCATTTTCACCACAGAGAATTACTTTAAAATTCTGATTTTTACTACGCAGCGGCGTGCAGACGAGAGCACGATTGTTGTTTGAGGGGGTGTGACGTCATCAGCTAGTGAGCGCCCGCCCGTTTTTTTAAAAATCTTTGTTCGGAAACACGCACTTTGATCGTTAATATCTCAGCCAATTTTTAAGATATGAAAAAAGTAAAAACACAATTTTTCTCGTATTATTTTAGTAACAAGTAAACATTTCAGATCTGGAGTATGAAATGGACGCTTCATCCCTGGCCCCCGAGCCAGCCACATATGAAACAGCTTACGTGACGTCCCACAAGATGGCGTGTCGGGCCGGCGCTTTCAGCTCCTGTGGGCAGCTTGTTGCTACGGGCAGTGTGGACGCCAGTATCAAGGTTCGATTTACACCAATAAATTTCAATATCTTTTTTGTGACTAACTACGAAATAAACTACACCCATGTGGATGATAAGATACACATGTGAATAGAGTTTTATTCTACATACATGTGTACATATCGTCACGTTGTTAATCCCCGAGAGGGTAAGCAGACTACAAAGAGAAGCAAGATATGCGGATCATGTTTAGCCAAAAAAATGAGTAAAATGGAAAATTTTTAAAGGAGAACCTATCGCCTACACAATCACAAACCCAATATCCCATTAGTCGCCTTTGATAAGCTAGTCAAGTAACACAGGTGTCATATTCTTTTTTGTCATAAGTTCCACATAAACTTGGGACCCATAAGTCCCAGACCATCATGGGAAAAGTTTTATTGCTTTCTTCAGATTCGAAATGTTAAAACATAACTAATGTTTCCTTATTTTTGTTACAGATTTTAGACGTGGAAAGAATGTTGGCCAAATCAGCTCCCGAAGAAGTGGATCCCGGCAGAGAGCAGCAGGGGCACCCCGTTATTAGGACTTTGTAAGTTCTTAGAGTTAATAAATTGTTCTCTGTTGTTAAGTTATTGCAAACTTAAAAATCTATATTATATTATTATATCTAAAATTCTAAATAAAAATAAATATAATTGGAATGAAGTTCGTTATCGGACGGTACGGGTTTGGCGGATGGGATCTAAGCTAAGCTAAGACAAAAAGTGTAAGATTTTTTCGTAACTACCCCTTGTGTCATAGTGTAGACGGCCTTGGCGGCGAAATAAGGAAGTGAGATGGAATAATATCCATCTCCCTCGCACTTTTTCTTATCTTGCCATGAAAGAAATATTATTTTATTTCAAATGATGCTTCATTTTAATAGACGCTAATAATTCATTTATTTGTATTTGTTAATCAATAATATAATACCTATGTTTATCAATAATAATATACTACTAAAGGAACTTCGTTCCAACCGAGTGTTCCACGACACTCACGCATTTTTTTATAGAATAAGTGGTAGAGCCATGCTGCAGCTATATTAATAGTAAAGTTGTAGAACGAATGAGTGCTCGACCGGGGATGGACCATGCTCTCACAGAATACCAGCGTGAAAAAAATAAGTCTGCCTCGTTGATCTAGTGTTTGTGACCGTCAGGTCAGCGGTCTTAAATCAATATGTTCTCAATTTACGTTTTCTCCTAGTCCAAAATGGCCATTGTTCTTTACAATATTCCCCACTTTCCAGATATGATCACACTGATGAAATAACTGCCCTGGATTTCCATCCTCGTGAGCAAATCTTGGTATCTGCATCTAGGGACTGCTGCATCAAACTCTTCGATATTACAAAGGCCTCCGCTAAGAAAGCCTACAAGTCTATAACGGTGAGTTTGTTATATTTGATTGTGATTAATATTGTTTTTCAATGTGAAATAACAATATTTGTCAATCAATTCCGAAAATAAACCCTAAACACACTGTACTAAGAACCACACAATATAATTTCATCACAAGTTAAAATGTTTGACGTCCAGCAAATTCAGCCACCCGCCTGGTGTAATATGTAAAAATTTATGTTTGTTTGTTCGTATTTCATACGCAGCCATATCGTTCATCAGACTACGCTAAAATTTGGTCAACTTATTGCTTGCACTTGCGTGAATGTTATAGGCATAATACAATTGTACTACTACTACCTTACAGTAGGTGGCGCACGTGTCGTACCGACTAATTTATTTGAAAGTCATAATGTGTCTTTTGATTTCAATGAAATGTTTCAAAATGGGCCAGGTACACTACCTCAAAAAAAAAAAAGAGAAAAATCTGTAGAATACGGGAAAAATACAGACAATTTAAATGTATCCTGTCATGGTAAACAATTAATATTTATTTATGACGGCTCCATGGCGCAGTGGCTTAGGAAATCAGTTGCAAAAGCCACTGCGCCACAACTTGTTATAAAAGCGTATACCTTGCCCCATAATGGAATTACTGACTCTTTGGAGTCGAATAAGAGATGGTTTATATTTTTATTTAATTTATTTATGTAGCCTTTATACAAAACAAGTACAAAAAGGCGGTCTTAATGCAACTAGGCATTCTCTACCAGTCTACCTCCAGGCTAAGCAGAAGAGATATTATGGGTGCAAAGTGCAAACAACTACATTAAAAATATCTCATAATCATCACAGCCATTCACAAGTCCACTACTGAACATAGGCCTCCCCCAAGGAATGCCACAAAGTACGGTCATGTCCGTCACTCTGGTTTCACTGTGGATATCTTCGTTTATAAGTTTATCATGCAGAGAAACACATAATAAATATATAAAAGTCCCGCTGGGTTTCTTGCTGGTTCTTCCCAGGACAGCAGTTTTTGTCGAACCAGTGGTAAAGCTTAAGTGACCTTCAATAAGTGTTCTAGTAATGAATCTATATATAAAAATCAATTGCTGCCCGTTAGTATCGCAAAAACTCGGAACTAGCTAGACGGATTTTGATGCAATTTTTTCTGTGTTTGAATGAGTCTGAATGGTTTATATTCACATTCGGACCTATTTTTATTCTATTCTATAACTACATACAAAGATAACATTATTCCAGGACGCGGAACAGGTGCTCTGTGTGGCCTTCCACCCCCTCGGTGACCACATCATAGCGTCTACAACCCACCCGGTGATAAGACTGTACGATGTGACCACAAGCCAGTGCTTCGTTTGTCCCATACCAACGCATCATCATAAGAAGCAAGTGAATTCGATAAAGTAAGTCGAGATTTGAACTAATTGAACTAATTCCATCGCGTTTGCATAATTTATTTTAACGCGGTAGAGCAATGCCGCAGCTATATTATGGTTGTAGCACGAATGGGTCGGCTTGAAGGACCACGCTCTCACAGAATACCAATGTGAAACAGCAGCTCAATGCTGCTGTGTTTCGTATGGTGAGTGTAGAGAAATGGAGAACCATTTTATTGGAAACGAGGCATTCCATCTTAGTCCTCATGGGTGACAACGCATCTGCATTTTGATTCTCAATTTAGGACTAGCTATCCCCCGCGTGGAGTTCATTACGATTGGATTTCATTGATATTTTTTTTGCGCGAAGCCCTAATTATATTTCTTAAATAAAAGTAGCCTAAGTTACTCCTTATAACATCAGTTATCTGCCAGTGTAAGTCCCATCAAAATGGGTCCATCCGTTTTGGAGATTAGCCATACAAAAATTTGAAAAGTGTTTTTTTTGTCACAAGTACCGTTTATACTTTCATATGCATTTAGTAAAAGGCTGTTATTTTGACATTACAAACAGACACTTGAGTTTTATTTATTTTTATAGATTAATGTAGATGTCTATGGGCCACAGCATCCAATTATCATCAGGTGGACTGTATGCTCGTTTGTCACTCTTTATTTAAAAAAAAAATGTTAAACACCGAGACTGAGGTGAAATCCTGATGTCATAATAAGAAGGTGTTTTTACAGATTTTATTACGTTTTATCTAGATACTTATTTTTATAATTCCATTTAATGTAGAACACCTTCTTTTAAACGACTTCAAAAAGGAGGAGGTATTCAATTTAACTGTATTATACATATGAAAGTATTATACGGTACTTATGACAAAAAAAAAACAATTTAAAAAAATTGTCTGTCTGTCGGTCTATCTGACTGTTTGTTTCGACTAATCTCGAAAATGACTGGACCGATACTGACAGGACTTTCACTGGCAGAAAGCTGATGTTATAAGGAGTGACTTAGGCAATTTAAAAAAAATCAAATCCCATGAAGTCCAACCGTAATAATTTCAACGCGGCACAGCTAGTTTTAAATAAATATTGTGAAACTAATAAGTAAAAGTGTTTATCCAAATTACAAAAAAAAATACATACATAAACACTCACGCCTGTCACCCAGAGGGGTAGGCAGAGACTACGGACTTCCATTTGGCGCGATCCTGACACACCTCTCTCGCCTCTTTTACATCCATATATACAAAAAAAAAATTAAAAAAATTGTCTTTGCTACAACTTTACCGAATTGTATAACCTCTGTAATGTCCCTTGCAACAGGTTCTCACCGAATGGCAAGTACTTCGCGAGCGGCAGTGCCGATGGCAGTGTGAAGCTATGGGACACGGTTTCCAACCGCTGCTTCAATACATTCATAAACGCGCACGACGGATCCGAAGTGTGCTCAGTTGCATTCACCAGGAATAGCAAGGTTTGGAACTGGATATAGTGTAAGAATATCCACTACCCCATTATTCATTATAGGCTGTACTGAATAAATGTATGGTCCAAAGAAAGATACCGTCGCCGACGACGGTGTTGCCTGATAAAAAAAAATTGCTGAAAATTAAGCAAATTGTGACAAAAACGTACTTTAAATATCAATAGTATTTTAATAATATACATTAATAATTTAGTAATTATAACAATATAATTACTCTCAGTAATTATTTTGTCTCTATCGTAATCTCCCTGTGACTGTTTCACCACAGACTATTATGGGTTTGATATTGGCCGTATGAATGTAAACAATGAACATTTAATTTAATTTTATTTAATTTAGTTGTTAGTATTTGTATATTACAGGTAAATTTTAGCTTTCGGTACTCCTTCTCCATACAAAACTTTACCGTTACACCCTATTAAAGTCCACTGCTGAACATAGACCTCCCCCATAGATTGCCTCATAGGGATATTTGCCATAGTTGTAATGTTACTGTTGATTTGAAAATTTCACCTCTCAGTGGGTTATGTGCTCCTGGTAGATTATCTTCTATACATCCATCCATTACAGCCTATTAAAGTCCACTGCTGAACATAGGCCTCCCCTATAGATTGCTTCATTGGTATTTGCCATAGTTGTAATGTTACTGTTGATTTGAAAATTTCACCTCTCAGTGGGTCATGTGCTCCTGGTAGATTATCTCCAATACATCCATCCATTACAGCCTACAGAACATAGGTCTCCCCCATAGATTGCCACGTTTGGCAAGCGGGGTGGCAACCGCAGTTTTTATTTTTGGTCGTTATTAAGAAGATGCTGCTGCCTATCTCCCGATTTGTTTCCCTCTGTCGCCTCTTACGACACCCACGGGATGATATGGGGTAGTGGGTATGTTTACACCGCCGCTACACGGTAAAAATATATAAACTTTAACTATGCCCAAATCTCACAAACCTCCATCATGCATGGAATATGCTTAAGAATAGGTACAAAGTTTTCTCTAATCTAATATATAAAATTCTCGTGTCGCGATGTTTGTTACCAAACTCCTCCGAAACGGCTCAATCGATTTATATGAAATTTTGTATGCATATCGGGTAGGTCTGAGAATCGGCCAACATCTATTTTTCAAACCCCTAAATGATAAGGGTGATCCACCCCTAAATAATTTTTTTTACAAAATTATTTATTTTCATTTTATTATGATATAGCATTGAAAAATACAAAAAAACTCAAAATTTTCACCCTTCTACTATCAACCCCTGTTTTTTAATCGCAATTTTCAAAGTATATGGCAAAACGACGTTTGCCGGATCAGCTAGTTAATACATAGATTTCCCCTTTCAGTACCTGCTAACGTCTGGTTTGGACTCGTCGATCAAGCTGTGGGAACTGGCGAGCAGTAGGTGCCTCATCCAGTACACTGGCGCCGGGACTACAGGCAAGCAAAACCTTACCTTTTCCGATAGGGACAGTAATAATACAAATAAACTTAGCACTGGACTGTTTCACTAGTTCAAGTCACTATCCATTATTTTTTTTATATGATCTACTAGCGATCCGCTATCGCACTGGTGATATCTGGATTCTACAAAAGCGCCACCTACCGGGTCCAACTATGCCTATAATATTTTGACAAAGTTTTACCGCAATCTAATGAACGGTATGACATCGCATAAAATACGAACACACAAATATAAATTTTTATATATTAAGGAGGCGAGAGAGATGTAACAGGATCGTGCCGAATGGAAGTCTGTTTTTGATTATGGTGTGATGATAGGACCGAGGTCTATGGTTCGAAGTTACAGTCAAATTTCCCTTTCGCAGGGAGACAGGAGCATCACGCACAGGCGATCCTCAACCATACGGAGGACTACGTGCTGTTCCCAGATGAGGCGACCACTTCGCTTTGCACTTGGCACTCGCGAAGTGCCAGTCGTTGCCAACTGATGTCGCTGGGACACAACGGAGCCGTCAGGTGAGTACAGACGTTTTTTTTTTATTATAAAATGAGGGTGACAAGCAAGCAAACAGTCCAATTCTACAGCTATCCTGGAATAAGAATCAGATGGAATGCCTCGTTTCCAGTAAAAAGGGCCTCCGGTTCTCTGTGTTTTACAACCATAATTTAGCTGCAGCGTAGCTCTACTACATATAAAGATATCATTTTTGTGTATTTTTTTCAGGTATATTGTTCACTCCGGCACGGCACCGGCTTTCTTAACTTGCAGCGATGACTACAGGGCAAGATTCTGGTATCGGCGAAATACGCACTAAGCGCTTACGTTTTAAGAGCTATTATCGTATATCTAGCATTGGTTGATTTAAGTCCGGTAAAGAATGTGTGATGTACAAGCGAAAAGCTATCTTATAAGTAATGTCATAAGGTTTTAAATTAACGTAAAATAAAATGTATTCGAAAAATTGTGTATTTTTAGTTTTATAGATATATGCGGCAACACTTAATATATAATTTAAATAATCCTCACTTTAGAAATAAAATGGTAAAATGCAGATGCGTTGTCACTCATGAGGACTGAGATAGAATGACTCGTTTCTAGTAAAAAGGGTCTCAGGTTCTCTACTCTCACACACTATAAAAACGCAGCAGTATTAAGCTGCTATTTCACTCTGGTATTCTGTGAGAGCGCGGTCCTTTGAGCCGACCCATTCGTGCTAAAACCATAATATAGCGGTAACGTGGCTCTACCACGTATATTATGCCGTGTACACTTTCCTTTAGGTGTATTGTGTATGTGGTAGTTCTCTCTTGCGTCTACAATATAAAAAAGGGGAATCAAGACTTATCTGGTCACTTACCTGACTATAGAGTTCTACAGAGGACTCCCCCTTCAGTTGGTGTCCGGTCAGGTAGGTGTTGTGGCTGCTGGCGATGTAGTACTGGCTGAGGGGACCCTCCATGTGCCGGGAGAGGTCTTTGTTCTCATCGCCGTCTTCTTGGGCGGATGGGTTCCTTAAGAAAGAAAGAAAACTTTTTAGATAATAATAATGTCATCCAGATCTAATTTCGGCCACGGTGGCCCGTCTCAACGGAGACTTATCATCAGCGCAGGACAGGATTATGGTGCACGAGTGTGTGCGCAAGCACAGGTGCACTCTCTATTGCCTCACTCTCATAGTCCGATGGGACGGTAACCCGACACGACCGGAGAGAGATCAGGCGCAGGACCAATGGTTTAACGTGCTTTCCGAGGCAAGTGAAAATGCCAACTTCCCGACTTCGGGCTGCTCATGAGATTATCTTGAGATCCCAAAAAATTGATTTTGGCACGATCTGAGATTCATGATCTCACAATTATGATCAACAAGGCAGTCTTTAGTCAAGTCGACCACTAGTCAGTGAGTTTAGAAATTACCAAAAAAAAAGCAAAAATGAAACTCACCAGCATTGAGCTGCTATTTCACGCTGGTATTCTGTGAGAGCGTGGTTCTCTACACTGGTCGAGCCGACCCATTCGTGCTACAAAAATAATATAACTGCTAATAGAAAAAAAGTCACATTCAAAATTACAACAAATTCCGTTGATTCAGAAAATATCGGAATTATGTTGTAGACTACATTCGCTTTGCCACGCACACAACAATAAATCGAATGTTCGGAAACATGAACCAGCAACCAGTATTGCACGGGCGCATACAACTGCAAAATGATTTATCTCTCACGAAATTACTCTACTTCCGGAAATATTTACTTTTTAAATTACCAAATTAAGTAACCGCCGTGAGTGTTTTGTATCCGATGTCTGACTTAAACAACAAACGAGCAATATTTTAATTTAAAAAATGTCTCGGATAATTCGGTGAAAGATGGATTGGCCGTGGTGGACCGGTCAACTGGCCGACGCAATCACCTGTTCTCACACTGTTAGACTTTTATCTCTCTGGTACGTTTAAGATGTCAGTCCGTATTTCAAAAGAAACATGTGATGCCGATGCGAATAGTCGCAGCCTTGTTCTGCAACGCGTGCGTTCAAACTATATAATATAATTCGGTTTCGCAAGTGCATAGAGGTAAAAGCGTACAATATCTTCGTGGTCGTCAAGTAGACATAGTAATGAATTAGTGTTTGTGTATAATTATAACAATCGGTCGAAGTAAAACGAACGAACGAACGAACGAAACGAAAGAAAGAGTGTCCCACTCATGACAGACAGCGTGTTACGTAAGGTGTTCACGTCGTGTTTGATATACGCCGCCGCTGGTAATACACGGCTTGCTTTTTCGCTTTGGCTTGCGTCATCATTCGATGCAAAGATAATCAATCCACATACAATTTACAAATTATAACTTTATTTAAATTTAATTTGATAATTTTAATGTAGAGTTTTCTGAAGTAAAATTCAATGTAGAGTTTTCTTAAGTATAAAACAGCAGTGTTAAGCTGCTATTTTACGCTGGTGTTCTGTGAGAGTGTGGTCCTACCCCGGTCGAGCCGACCCATTCGTGCTACAACTATACTACTAATATAGCTGCAGCATGTCTCTACTACGTAAAAAACTGCCTTTACTGCCGAGGAGCGGATATACATCTTTCACATCAAAAAAAAAATGTCGGATTTAGTAGTTGCAGCGACAATATGTCGCGGAACATCAAACTGGTACTGAACCTACTTACCCAACGAAGCTGTTGACTTGCTGTCTTCTCTGTTCCGGAACGAACGCGTAGTTGTCTTTGTCGGTGAGGAAGCGCACGAAGCCTTCGAAGGACAAGCAGTTCTCCGCCCTTAACACTGGGTCTGGCTCGTGCCGCTATAGGTAACAGCAAGTAACTATTAGTTATAGAATAAGGGTGACAAACGAGCACACAGCTGTTTCGACCCATAGAAGTCGCCATATTAAATACGTGCCGTATCGTGAGATTTTTTTTTACAAATAGATGAAAACGTAGTTACGCCCAATATTCCCGAACACATTAATAATATTTTCATATGGTTTTTACTTAGTGAACACCCGTAATTACCATTAATAACGACCACGAGGTTTGAAAAAATAAAGATATAGAAATACATAATAATAATAATTACTTTATTTGTTTAGAAACACGGTATTATGAGCTGGTACAAGTTTGACAGAGATAGGCTAATGCATTTTTCTATCGACTCCAAAAACGGGAAGGTACTTTTAAGTGTTACCTCATAACTTTGGTCTACGTGAACCGATTTCGATGATTCTTTTTTTATTTAAAAGCTGGTGCTTCACATGTGGTTCCATATAAATTTAATCAAGGTCCGACCAATAGTTTTTGAATTATTCTTAATAGTTTATATTGAAGTGGGTTGTACAAAATTTTTAATTTTTAATTATTGTTCGTACTGTTGCTCTATAATGGGATGCCGTAGCGCAATATCGATTCTATGTAAGCGTTACAGAATATGATAACGGTCTTGTTGTCGGTTACATTCCTAACACGTTTAAGAGCATATATACAAAGTGGTTAATTCTGTTACACAAATGGTCTATATGTATTGTTCAGTTCAAATCCTCGTCAATAGTTATACTAATAATTGAGGGCTAATAATTTTCTGCTCACCAGATGTCGCTAGTTGACACTGAGGTAAAGTTTTTTGTTACACAATGTCATTTAATTGAGAAGTTAGTCTTAAGTAAAAGTTTATCATTTTCTAGAGTATTATATTAATACACAAAACAATGCCTCATGCCTGGTTTGCTCTTTAATTCTTTGCACATTTTAATTTTTTTTTTAAATTTTTCTACTTTATGAATTGTTTTGATTTGGTTTATTTATTTTAAATCTTATTAATATCAAATATAGTTAATAGTACAGAAAGAAACATCAAACTTTACATTTTCCGAACAAATTAACTTCCCCGCTGTACAATCTGTCAAATATTATAACCTCACTTTTAAGTGGCACCGCCCTGGTGGCAGAAAAAGTCGTGGGTTTTTGTACTTAATTTATTGTTTAGGTCAAATAATTAACTTTGAAAGGGGAATGCCCACCGTTCATAGACACTTCGGCCATAGGTGCCCACATATAAAAGCATGTGGAAATGATAATATGCAATTAAAATAATGAAATGGTTAAGGAATTGGTTTAAAAAAAGTCCGGATTTTTAAGATATAAAGGTTTTTTATTTTCACAAGAACAGTTTTTAACAACAAATGACTTCGTAGTTTCGTGACATTTAAACCACAATTGACACAGCGTTAATGTGTTCTTGAGTGAGTTACTGAGAGCTAGGAAGAACTCTGGGTGACGGAAAGCTGGGGTCATCGTTAACAGTGGAAATCGAGTCCAAGTTCGTGCAGAGGCTATCGTAAGAAGTGGGAGCGGGATCCATTTTCAGACCGTGGTCAATATGGCGAGAAGAATTATCGGAATCCATTTAGAAAGCTTATTCGTTACTTAGACAACAAATCCGCGAGAAAACAAACAAAATAACACAAATGCAAAGTCATTCGACTTGTGACTATTTAGTTTCGATAATTATGAAATGGGCCTAGCTGTCAGATTCGATGTTGCCAATTAACAGACATAAAATCGATAAATAGATAGTGATTTTTTTAATCGATTTATAATTTCATAAAAAGAATAATCTTTGATTCGCCTTAAGTTCTGCACGCCTTTTAGAATATGTTTTGTTTTATTTATTTAAATTCCATTTTAAATGTATTTTTAAGAACAGATAAAAATAACAGTTAAATTGTGCAGTAGCGTTTTTGTTATGTTATAAAGAGTTCATGGTAAATCAACTAGCAATTCGCTTGTTTAATTATCATAACATCATAATAATTATCGAAAATAATATTACCATTATAATAATGACAACATAAAAATCGATTGAAAAAACATAATCGACTTTTTTTTTTACGAGATTTGTGATTGGCAACACTTTTTATTTTACCCACAAACTAATGACTTGCGGATTTACCTAATTTCATTTTTATCTTTTCGGTACTTTTTTTTGTGGAAAAATATTGCAATCTTTTTTGGATATATAAATACTGCGATGAATTACCATAAAAAAAGATATATTTTTTTAACAAATGCAAATTGTTGGGCGTTTCATGGCCAGAATTGGGCATTCCCCTTTGCATTCAACACTCGTGTCTATCGCTGACTTTGTAAAGGTCACTATCGCCCCACTCCCGTGTGGGTCGCTCGGCAGATGGCGCGAGTGCCGGACGCGAGTGCGAAGACAGTAGCTTGACAGCAGCGGCGCCGTCGATTAGCGTATTTTGGTGACCGCTGCATCGGTTTCGCGCGTCCAGGTTTTGGTTTTGTGGTCTAGTATTTGAGTATTTGTGCGCGTCAATTTACTATTGAATTTAGGTTTCGTGCAGACCGCCTCGAATTAGTGTGTCTAACTTGTACGTTCGTGACAAGAGGCTTGTATTGAATTTGAGTGATTAGAGTAATTTCGTTGCAATTGTGCCGTATGTCACGTGTTTGATTTCGATGAACGTTGAATTGGTTGACTTTGAAGTTAATTATATGTACAATAAAGTTGATAGACTGGAATAGTGTGAACAACTGCCGGTCGAAAGGACGTGTAGAATTTACTATTGGAGTTTTTCGCTTCTAATTTTGGTTATCCTTAGTGCGTTCACGCGATAACGAAGCAGTAATATTTTGATTGATTAAATACTCGGCGAGTCCCCAACCTTTTATACTCGACATTCGTTCTGCAACCATAATATAGGTGCAGGATGGCCCTACTGCTTTAAAATAAAATCTAGCTAACTTCTTTCCTAAGAATAAGATTTCTTTGTCACTGTCTCACCCTGAACTAACCTGTATAATATCTTTCAGCTGTTGCTCATTCTTAGGTTCGTTCTGCCTCGTCTCGCAAAACTTGCCGAGGGTCGGCAACGACAACACCCTCCCGCTCATGTCTGGACTTGCTCCTGTAACAATGGATTATGATGTTTTCTGGCGGTACTATACGGGAATATTAATAGATACTACAGTAAGTGGAGGGCAATATGGTCATCCGGTTAATATGGTCACTGGTGACGCGTGGTTCAAAATTGGAATAAATTGGACTGTAATAGGTAGTTGGAATTGGATTCGACTTTACGCACCTGAAGAACGCCGTCAGCTTCTTCTCGTACTTGAGGTTGACACTCGCGTGGTACACTCCTAGATTGCTTGCGCGATTTAAACTTATTTTATACAATTCACGGCCGTGATTTTTGCGTATGATAATTAAATAGATATGCGAGTAGCGAGCGTGACACAATATGCTTCCGCGTGCGGGCGTGTTCTTACTTAGACTTCTTCTTCTACCCGGTTGTCGGTCGCAATAAGGAATGAATGGAATGAATGAAAGGTACTATAGAGTTATCTGATTCGTCATTAAGATTGACCAAAAGAGCGGAATATTTTAATTTGAGAAGTGGCGGTAACAGTCACTTTATTATAACTCAAAAACTTGTTTGCATAGATGGCTCTGTGATACGATAGCTCTCCATCAGCCAATCAAATAATAAAGTGTCAAAAGGGCGCTGCTTTATCGACGCCATTTTGACAGTTGACATTATTGTAAATATTTGAGTCGATTTTAGCATTGTGTAGTTAGTTTTTTTAAGTTGATTTTCGAAGTGTTCCTAATTATCGAAAAGCTTGTTTGCTATATTATTCTTAATTATAATAGTTATAGTATACGAGAATGTGTTTTTTTTTCTCTGTCCTTCTCCTAGATTTGATTTTCTAGGGCGGCGAAACTTAAGGTGACCATACTACCCTCATGTACCTTATAATATTTGAGGTAGTGACAGGGTATTTTTTGTCTAAAAGTTTATTAGAGTTGATTGATAGTGAATTAAACTTAAAACATAGTTAAAATTAAAAGTAATGCAGTAGGTGAGAATTATAAGTCTTAATCATGCTCACACATTGCAGACTTCCCGGAGCGTAAGAGCTTCATGTCAGCTATATGTTCATTTAATGTGTATTATTCGCCTAAATATAAAAAAATAATGCCATTTAATTGTACAGTAGATTCTTACAAGATGAAAGACGATGCTTGTGACACACTTGCACTCATAGTAATCCCTGTATAATAACATACCTGGCAATGCGGCAGCTGCTAGAACATCGAATGCCTTTTTTCTGCTGGCTTTGTCACTTGGCGGGTCCAGATCTAACGACCCGTTCCTCGTTAAAAGACCTAACCGACAAGACAATCTTTTATCAAATACCACACATTAGTTAAAAGGAAAAAGAAAAGCAAAAAGTGCACCGTGAGTTTATTTTAATTTTAATAAAAAAAATAAATTGTATTCCTGACTTTTAAATATAGCGCTCTATTATTTTAACTGATAGTGTTACCGACAGGGGAAAAAATAATGTTTACCAAAATAAATCGATTACACAAAGTATAAAATCGACATAGGCTGTATGGTATATTTGTCCTTTGTCTATCAAATGCTAAAAAAATATATGACAGCGCCTTTAAATTTTTAATAGCAGTAAAACTTATAAAAGTTGAAAATCATTTTATTAACAACCGGAGACTTTTTACTGGAAACGAGGCATTCCAACTCAGGTCTGACAACGTATCTGCATTTTGATTTTTCATTGATAATGATCTATGTGTACCCTGAATAGACTACATCATCCATTAATTATTATGAAATGGACTACGTCGAGCACACCTTTTCCCAACTTGGGTACTTAATCTTTATATATAAAAGACTATATTTTGACAACTTAAAGAAGATAGAGGCTATGTTAATAACACATACGATGTAAGCCATTGAGTTATATGTACTACGTACTAGAGAAGCCATTCCAAACAAAAATTGTGTCCTACTCTATGTCTTCGCGCATGCGCGGGAGTAGTAGTCGCGCATGCGCGAACACTTTAACTTGATATAAAATAAGATATTAATATAAAACAAATATAAGAATTTAATATAAAATATCTTAATTTAATCTAAACCAACATATTATATTTCTAAATAAAATGTAATAATAATTATTTTATGGAATTCACAAATTTTCAATTTACGCAATATTTAGTTTGTACGGATTGCAGTACAGTTCAGTTGAACATAGTCAATGTTCGGAATGGCTTCTCTAGTACATAGTACATATAACTCAATGATGTAAGCAGTTGTCTCATTTACGGTTTTAGCACTGTGTATATCCGCATTAAATATACAACAATATCTCTAAAACTTTTATTAATTTACACTCCAATGTTGAATCATAAGAATACATTCAAAATTATCTACATATGGTGAAAAAAATTAAATTAGTGGCTTTTAATAGAGCGGAGCTACCAACTAAAATATCTTTAAACGGCTCTCCTGTAAAGTTCGATATTTGAACATACGATAGTGTACTTAGGATCCGTCGAGTTGTGTTGTAACCTCTGAGGATCAAGATTATTCAATCTTCTCTCAGTCTGTATTTGGGTCACAGACTAGTAAAATAGAGCATTTGATTGGGTGTCTCACCTGTTCTGAAGGATGTTTTGCTGCGAAACAACTCGGGCGAGCTGCGACTCCTTTCAGCACCCAGCAGAGAGTACCGTGGCCGCGGCACGGCGAGCTGTTCAAACACATCCCTCAGCTCCGACCGCATTACTAAACTGGAACAAATTGTGCTGTGAATTTTCTATATACATTTATTATTTGTTTTTGAACTGAATACTTCTTTAAAATCGTTGTGGTTTGAAACTCGATGAAATAGTGTCGCTTTTACACTAAAAAGAGACAAACATATACATCTATCGGATCTAGCATGTATTTAGTCTATACAGTGTTTCCAACTATCTCGCTCTACTTTTCTGATAGTTTCACTTCTATCGCATATGAACTGTACAGATATTTTTTTATAGAAGGTGGTAAACGAGCATGCGGTTCATCATCGTCGTCATTACAGCCCTTTACAAGTTTACTGCTAAACATAGAACCTCTGCTCCATAAAATTACTGCATGTCTTACCAGGTTGTCACTCTATCTAGTGGGAAGTCGCCCTACACTTCGCTAATCGGTACGGGGCTGCCATTTAAGAACCTTTATATTGTGGTTGTAGCACGAATGGGTCAGCTCGACCGGGGAAGGACCACGCTCTCACAGAATACCAGCGTAAAATAGCAGCTTAACGCTGCTGTGTTTCGTATGGTGAGTGTAGAGAACCGGAGACCCATTTTACTGGAAACGAGGCATGACATCTCAGTCCTCAGGGGTGACAACGCATCTGTATTTTGATTCTTAATTGAGGATAAATATAGATATCTATGGGTCATAGCATCCACTTACTATCAGGTGGACTGTGTGCTCGTTTGTCACCCTTATTCTATAAAAAAAGGAGCAATATTATATCATTTTACTTGGAAGAGCCACGTTGGGTCGGCTCCCAAGGTGAGCGTAGAGAACCGGAGAGCTTTTTTACTGGTAGCGAGGAATTCCATTTTAGTCCTAGAAGGTGACAACGCGTCTGTATTTTAATTTTAAATAGAAGATAAAATGTAGATGTCTATGGGCCACTGCACTCACTTACCATCTCGTGGACTATGTTCTCGTTTGTCATCCTTATTCTATATAAAGATATTATGTGGCTACTTCAGCCGATAGAAATACGACATTTGTTTATAGGATAAGAGTAACAAACGAGCACACAGTACACCTCATGGTAGTTGCTGTGGCCCATAGACAGCTACATCTATCGTCCAAGAATCAAAATGTACCTGCATTGTTACTCTTCCTTGAGGACTAAGATATAATGCCTCGTTTCCAGTAAAAAGGGTCTGCGGTTCTCTACACTCACCATACGAAACACAGAAGCATTAAGCTGCTATTTTACGCTGGTATTCTGTGAGAGCGTGGTCCTTCTCCGGTCGAGCCGATTCCGAACCAATTCATGCTACAACTATACCAGTAATATAGCTGCATCATGGCTCTACCACGTATACTTTTCTTCTCGTATAAAACATTACCACGTGACTTCATCATAATGCCTAATAGTGAAAGATCCACTCACCTGAAACTCCTGAACAATGCGACGAAATCCATAAAGTCGAGTTGGGTGTCGTAGCTGACGGAACCGGTCCGCAGATTTTTGATGTTCTCCCAAAACCGTTCGCCTGTGTCCAATCGTCTTAAGCTGTGAACAAAAGAAGAAATTTAGTTGGACGGTGATTAAGATTTGTGGTAGTGCTGTGGTCGCACCACATTCGAAACACAACGAAGCCTAAATCGCGCTATATAATTTCCGGAGTAAAGCAGTATATATAGAATAGCTCCGAACTACCACTCACTTCTGCACCCCCTTTCCCTAAAGGTGTCGCTTCCGATTCGGCAGAAAGGCCATACAGGCAAAGCTAGCCCCACAGATGGTGTTTAGTGGGTAGGGCACTTCATAGTAAGTCCCACATAACGACGAAGCTGGCTGCGTGGTATGCTATGAGCATTCCCCACCTTCCTCCCCCGCTTCCGGAGGATAACCTTGCTATGAGCGCAAAAAAAAAACTACCACTCGGAACGTTGGCCGTCCCCCTGGCAGAACATCTTGCCCTGCCGGATATCTCCCATTTTCCTTCAAGGGCCAAAGACTTATTAAGATTAATTATCAAAAATAAATTATGATAATAATATAATATGACAGGCCTGTTGGTCTAGTGGTTAGTGACCCTGACTGCTATGCCGGAGGTCGTGGGTTCGATTCCCACCCAGGACAAATGTTTGTGTGATGAACGCGATCATTTGTTCTGTGTCTGGGTGTAATTTATCTATAATATTTATGTATTTAGAAATATATAAGTATGTTTATCAGTTGTCTAGTACCCATAACACAAGCTCTGCTTATCTTGGGACTAGATGGCGTTGTGTGATAGTTGTGGAATATTATTATTATTATATTATTATTATAAGAAAAAACTGCGGTGTCCACCCTTGCGCTTACAAAGCGTGGTAACTATGGCCGAAACCCCTCAATGAGGCAATCTATGGGGAGAACTATGTTCAGCTGTGTACTTTTATAAGCTGTAATAGACGGATGAATGGGTGGGAATTAAGATTTGGACCTCGAGCGAAATTTAAAGTTTGTTAGTCCATCAGTCAAGCGTACTGTTTTGGATAATACTTCTTGTAGCAGGAGATGACCAAATGGAGTAGTGGATTTTACCAGCTGCTTGCAGATGAGTAAAAAAAAAGTACTAACTCTATTTTGAACGTTTGTAAGGATTATTTTAGTAAAAATATTAAAGTAAATAATGAACTCAGTGAAGAAATAAATAACCGAATAGATAAGAATTAAATAGAAAAGCATATAGTAGAAACAGAGAGGCTGACGTAGGGCAGGAAAGTAGATAATCGCGTCAAAGTGGGCCAAAAACTATTGGTGCTACTGGTTTGGTAAACTTGCTAAAAAGGAGCATAGTGCTACGAAACGGCTCCTACCGTCGTGTCACAAGCCGGCTTAAGGTCCGTCGTGTCACACCAATCAATATTTACAGTAAGTAGGTTGGAGTTCAGCCACTTAACGATCCTAGCAAGTAAGTTCTTACTTTGTTTTTTCTACGTATTTATTTACGTCTATCAGCTGACGACTTTGACTTAAAAAACATAGGAGTCATCAATAAATTCATTTGTATAATATTACATTGGCTATTTTGAGTTAGTTTGTGAGATATTTCTCGTCCTCCTCCCCCACCCCAAATCTCACGTGAAATTTTTCAAAATGCGTATTTTTAGTGCAAACACTTTAATCTGTGCTTCATTCCGTTGGGTTTATTAAAAAAAAAACATAATTTGCTCAATTATTTTTATATTATTTGTGGAGTTCCCATAACGTGTAGGATTTATCCATATTTTACTTAATTTAAACGAATTTTCTCGAAATTTCACACGGTTTTTTGCGGATAAAATTACATGATAGTGTCCGGGACACTTCACTCTCCTCCACATGAGACTGGGTGAAATTCGGCTCAACCCCCTCCGTCCCCTTAAAAACCTCACGTAATTAATGGACGCCCATTTCTGTCAGATGGGATTGTAGTCGAGCGTAGTCCAGCGTTGGGCTATGTAAATAAAAAGGCATATTGCTCACCTACTCCTATTAGGCGTGCCAGCCATGATGCTAGTCGCGGCCGCTGTAAGACTGCTGTGTCGTGGTGGACAGTGTTGGTGGTGGCCGACGACCGCTGAGTAGGAACTGTAGAAAAAGTACATAATTTTAGAGACAGTCTGTCATACTAATTTGGCCGGTCCTGCAGTCTCTTCAGCGGCGCTAAGTTGACTGTTGGTATATCGAAGTGCTGAGGTGTTTGACAGTAGAACTACGATGGCTATCCGAGTACAGAATCAGAGTACGAAACCTATCCAACTGCAGAGAGATGTAAGACAGGGTGACGTTGTATCCCCGAAACTCTTCACCGCTGCATTGGAAGATGTTTTCAAGCTAGTGGACTGGAAAAGATACGTTATTAACGTCAATAGCGAGTACATCACTCACCTTCGATTTGCCGACGATATAGTCCTTATGGCAGAATCACTCGAGGACCTAAGCACTATGCTCAATGACCTCATTAGTGTCTCCCAACGGATAGGTCTTAAGATGAACATGGACAAAACAAAAGTCATTTGTAACGTCCGTGTCCCACCTATGCCGGTAGTTGTTGGGAGCACTAAGCTCGAAGTTGTTGACGAGTATGTTTACCTGGGACAAATAGTCCGACTAGGTAAGTCCAACTTCGACCGAGAGGTCAATCTACGGCTTCAACTCGGCTGGGCAGCGTTCGGGAAACTACGACACATCTTCTCGTCAGGCATACCTCAAAACCTCAAAAGAAGATTGGTCAACGAGTGCATGTTGCCAGTGATGACTTATGGATCTGAGACGTGTTCCTTCACTGCTGGCCGTTTGAGAAAGCTTAAGGCTTAGGATATCCGCAGTAGAAACCAGAGTAACTGGTATAGCCCAACGAATTAGTAAGCTGAAGTGGTAATGGGCTGACCATATAGCTTGAAGAGCCGACAACCAATGGGGAGAAAAGGTTCTCGAGTGGCGGCCTCGTACCGGCAGGCGAAGTGACGGGCCACTAGACCTGGTAAGACATGCAGGAAGTTAATGAATGCAGGTGGCTCGGGAGCATGCTTTGTGGCGTTCCTTGGGGGAGGCTTATGGTCAGCAGTGGACTTGTGAAGGGCTGCAATGATAATGATGTCATACATAATATTTTTCTTACGTGGTGGAGCCATGCTACAGCTATATCAATAGTACAGTTATAGCACGAATGGGTCGGCTCGACCGGGGAAGGACCACGCTCTCACAGATTACCAGCGTGAAAAAAATAAGTCTGCCTCGTTGATCTAGTGTTTGTAAACGGGACTGCTGACCGTGAGGTCCCGGGGTTTAATCCCGGGGACGGGAAAAAATCAGTTATTAAATATTTCTGTCAAGAAATTCTCAGTAGCTGCCCAGAGTCAGGAAGTTGGTGGTGTGTCCCTTGCCTTGGTGAAACTAATTCCAGCCGCTCAACTTCACCACTGCACATCACAAAAATACTCGCCTTACAATCCATACCATATGGATGATTGACGGAATATCACTGACTCATCAAGGATTTCTTCTTCGCACAACTTTCTTGTGGAATCGACCACCACCAGCAATATTTCTGAATCAATAAGAAAATATCCTACTCTTTCTTAAAAGCCCTGCAAAGCATCTGCAATTCCCCTGGTGTTGCAGTTGATCATGGGTGGCGGTAGTCACTTACCATAAGGTGAGCTGTATGTTCGTTTGCTTCTCTTATATAAAAAAAACAAGACTTTCAGAACGTACTCTTTGTCAATTTTGTCGAATATCCAGCGCTTCATCTTTAATATATCGCCAACTTGGTTTCTAGTTGACTTTGCCACTCGATTCACTTAACTTCACTTATAAAGTGTATGTCCTAAGAAAAAACATGGCGATAGGGTAGTGAAGTTACCTGTTTCTAGGTGATCCCTGAATCGCCTCATCATCGCTTTTAGGTCCGGAGGCGAAGCTCGAAGCGTAGTTCTTAGGCGAGCTCTTCAGTTCTGAAGTTGATTTGTTTTTCTAAAAAAAAGAAAGTTAATATCACAATGATTACCCTCGAATGGATGTGAAATAGAGTTTATTACCACTTTGTTGTCTAAGAAATAGCGGAGATATTACTCCGGGTGAAGTGTTTAATCCGGGTAGCGGCCAGCTCTTCATGTGGTAGTTTGGAGATTATCTATACTTACTAATATAATAAAGCGGAAGAGTTTTTTGTTCTTTGTTTGTTTAAACGCGCTAATCTCTGAAATTACCAGTCCAATTTGAAAAATTATTTTTGTATATTATAGCCAGATTTATGTGGAATAAGTAGTATAGGCTATCTAGCATTAAGCTATATTACTCAGCTAGCCTTAAATATGGATATTTGTTAAGCAAGTCAGAAGAAAAAGCACTCCTGAAATGATTTATCCGCGGACGCTGGTGTTATCGTTAGGGATACGTAAATACAATGTTCTAGAAAAATATAGACTTTTACTCCGTTTAAAAAAAGTAAGCGATACCATATGTCTATTTCTTATACATAAGCCATAATTTGGTATTTTGTGACAAAAATATTGAAAATTTAAAAGTGATTTATGAGCGTTATTATTAGGCATGGCCTATTTATCCTTACGAACGAAAGTTACTTCATCATCAAGGCAATTTTATGTAGATAAATTTTGTTTTTTATAACATGTTATTTGGACGCATAGTTTAAGAAATAATGTAAAATTAAAATAATTCAATATTTAGCTGGGCGCGCGAACGACGCTTAAACCCTAGTCGTTATAAAATGCTTGAACTAGGTCATGTCGCGCACCTCGGACACGTGATGACGCAGGTGAAACCGTAGGGCAGCTTGTATATTTTATACCGGAGTAGATTGGAAACTGATAATGTCGTCTCGTGGGTAAAAGGCGACATTATTTCACGTGGTAGAGCCATGCTGCAGCTATATTAGTAGTATAGTTGTAGCACGAATGGGTCAGCTCGACCGAGGAAGGACCACGCTCTCACAGAATACCAGCGTGAAATAGCAGCTTAACGCTGCTGTGTTTCGTATGGTGAGTGTAGAGAACCGGAGTCCCTTTTTACTGGAAATGGGGCATTCCATCTTAGTCCTCACGGGTGACAACGCATCTGCATTATGATTTGTAATAGAGGATAGATGTAGATGTCTATGGGCCACAGCTACAACTTACCATCAGGTGGACTGTGCGCTCGTTTGTCACCCTTATCCTATAAAAAAAATATGGATACAGACCAGGAAATGAGCAGCAGCGTCACGTCGTCCTAAAAACAACAAAATATTAAAAAAAAAACTGGGGTGCAAACTCGTCTGCCAAGCGTGGCAACTATGGCAAATATGCCCCCAGAATTATACAAAGTGTACTCCGTCGTATCGGTTCATTCCAGTGTCGGAATAGTGGTACTTTCTCTTTCCTTTATTTCTTTCTAAAACCATGTCTCTCTTTCCTGACAATCGGGTAAAATCTCACCTTGAATTTAATTCCTGCCCCCCTTAAAGAGTCTCCATGGGACTCCGAGAAGGCTCCTCTGACAGGAGTGGAGTGTGAGGACGCGCCGCAAGTCGAGTCTCTGCCGCCAAATACCTGCACGTGAAAGATTATTACAGTTTTTTTTTACCACAAACAAGCATACCAGGTGTGGCCGTTGGAGGGAAAAGGGGAGATCTCCCGCCGGGTAGCGGTTTTCGCCAGGAGAGCAGCCGACGCACCTAGTGGCAGTTCGGAGCTATTCTATATATACTGCTTTCACTTCGGAACTTTAATAGCGCGATTCAGGATTCGATGTATTTTCGCTTGTGTGTGGCGCGATGACAGCGCCACCACATATGTGATCCATACACACCTGATTTGTCACTCCCAAGTACAAAGACAGATTGCCCCATTACCAGTAAAAAAGGGTTTCTCGTTTTCTACATTTATCATTTTTTTTATAGAAAATAGGGCATACGAGAATACGTATCACCTCACCTGATGGTAAGTGACTACCGCCACCCTTAAACCACTGCAATACCAGAAGAATTGCAGGTGCGTTTCCAATCATTTAGTTAGGATCTTTTCTTCATAGTCCCTGAGTTGTATCGACTACCTTACGAAACTGGATTAAGTCTCTATCTTCAGCTGGTCATCTGTACGAGGGAGATCCTTCCTTTAGGAGATCTTTCCCTCATCGAGATGACCTTGTAATCAGTGATGACAAAGCTGCAGCGTGTTTCTACCACTTTTAATGACGTATTAGAAAGTACTTATAATACTCGCAGACCGTCAGTTAATGGGGAAGGGAACTTCTCGAATTGTAGCCTTGTAAAGCGGCCCCCACTAGACGGAGTACCGAACCGCTAAGACATGCAGGAAATTAATGGATACAGGTGAGTAAGGATCACATTTTGTGGCATTTCTTGGGGGAGGCCTATATTCTGCAGTGGTCTTCTGGTATGTACGGTGTAGTGGCGGTGTAAGAATATCCACTATCCCATATCTTACCGACAGAGGGAAACTGAGACAGGTGTTGGGCAGCAGCGCCTTTCTGATAATAGCAAAAACTACAATGAAAACTGCGTTTGCCAACCGTGGATGCTGTGGCCCATAGACATCTACATCTATCCTCGATTAAGGATCAAAATGCAGATGCGTTGTCACACCTGAGGACTAAGATGGAATGCCCCGTTTCCAGTGAAAGGGGTCTTCAGTTCTCTACAATCACCATACGAACAGCAGCATTGAGCTGCTATTTTCGCCGGTATTCTGTGAGAGCGTGGTCCTTCCCCGGTCGAGCCGACTTATTCGTGCTACAACCATAATTGCAGCATAGCTTTACCAAGTAAAAAAAATTATAATTTGTAATACTTACCCTAATGGCATCAGAGACTACAGGCTCACAACAGCAACTATCCTCGTAATATAAAGCGGTGTACTTGTTCTTCAGCCAGGCCAGACTCCTGTCTGCGAGCTTGGTCTGTGTCATCAACGCTCTGATCACGGCGTGCAGACCGACTGCCCACACTCTGCGATAAAAATAATGTTTTTTTTTAATTTTATTTATAAAATTGAAATGGAAAACGAGATCTTATTAATAAACATATTGTTTACGATATCAGCTGAGTGCCACACTGATTAATAAACGAAACTCAAGTGTGTGTACTTGAGTGCAAGTCACAGAACAGTATTAATAAGTACAGCGTTTTGAGATAATATTTATTAATTAGCAAACGATCTTGATACCGATATCGTAATGAGGGCGTATCAAACTTGCGCACTTGAATTCGTCGTTGAGTAACGTTTATTAATACGGGCCTAAGTCTTTAAAACGCGTTATTCGAAGCTCATTTCGTCTTTATTTTAATTGTAATGCACGATTACGGCGTAGAATTTTAAACACAAAAGTTATACGTGCCATTATTTTATCGCAGAATAAACACAATTCATAAAAAGTTACTGTTTCGCTGTTGCCTAAATTTCAATTCCACCGCAATATAAACACAATACGCAGCTGTCAACTAACTGTCAAAACTGCGTCAAGAGTGCCGACTTTGCTTACAATCGGATTGGATAATTTCAATTCCAATCTCAATCAGTTCGCACAATCAGCACACAATATTGACCTAATTTAGCGCTAGCGTCGCTATCAAGATCACGAAACGTTATAATTTCAATTCCAATCTCAATCAGTTCGCACAATCAGCACACGATATTGACCCAATTTAGCGCTAGCGTCGCTATCAAGATTACGAAACGTTATAATTTCAATTCCAATCTCAATCAGTTCGCACAATCAGCACACAATATTGACCCAATTTAGCGCTAGCGTCGCTATCAAGATTACGAAACGTTATAATTTCAATTCCAATCTCAATCAGTTCGCACAATCAGCACACAATATTGACCCAATTTAGCGCTAGCGTCGCTATCAAGATTACGAAACGTTATAATTTCAATTCCGATCTCAATCAGTTCGCACAATCAGCACACAATATTGACCCAATTTAGCGCTAGCGTCGCTATCAAGATCACGAAACGTTATAATTTCAATTCCAATCTCAATCAGTTCGCACAATCAGCACACGATATTGACCCAATTTAGCGCTAGCGTCGCTATCAAGATTACGAAACGTTATAATTTCAATTCCAATCTCAATCAGTTCGCACAATCAGCACACAATATTGACCCAATTTAGCGCTAGCGTCGCTATCAAGATTACGAAACGTTATAATTTCAATTCCAATCTCAATCAGTTCGCACAATCAGCACACAATATTGACCCAATTTAGCGCTAGCGTCGCTATCAAGATTACGAAACGTTATAATTTCAATTCCAATCTCAATCAGTTCGCACAATCAGCACACGATATTGACCCAATTTAGCGCTAGCGTCGCTATCAAGATTACGAAACGTTATAATTTCAATTCCAATCTCAATCAGTTCGCACAATCAGCACACAATATTGACCCAATTTAGCGCTAGCGTCGCTATCAAGATTACGAAACGTTATAATTTCAATTCCAATCTCAATCAGTTCGCACAATCAGCACACAATATTGACCCAATTTAGCGCTAGCGTCGCTATCAAGATTACGAAACGTAAAAATTTTGGAATTGAAATTATATAACGTTATAATTTCAATTCCGATCGATCGGAATTGAAATTATAACGTTATATACACAATAATTTTGTTTATACAATTTTTAAATGTTTTTTAATAGAACCAGCATGGTGGCGATCACATCATTATCAGGGGTTATTTTCATTCATGTATTCTTTGATATTGTAATAACCCTTTCTCGTACAATTATTCTTTATTAAACATTTTAACTTGTTTATTGACAAATTTTGTACGTGTTCTGGGATTTTGTTGTAAAAGCGTATACATTGCCCCATAGTTATGGTAGCGATTACCTCATACCCAGGGGTAATCATTGCTCTTAACCTGTAGCAAAGTTCCATCACAAGCGGTTCGGCCTTCCCGAAGATTAGCCCGACAGATAAAAATTTTAATAATGGTTATTCATATCCCTGGCTTATTAATTAACATAACTGGCTTCAAGAAGCCAGTTATGTTAATATATCAGACATACACTTCAATTTTCTATCGACTTCAAAAAGGAGACGGTACTCAATTCGACTGTATTTTTTTTATGTGTGTTACCTAATAACTTTGTTCTACGTGAATCTTTTGATTGATGAGTGATTTCTTTTTTATTTGGAAGCTGGTGCTTCCCATGTGGTCCCATATAAATTTGATCAAGTACTAACCAATAGCTTTTGAGTTATCCTTAATAATATATATTGAAGTCGGTTGTACAAAATTTTTAATTTTAAATCTTTCTTTCTTTTCTTTCTTTTTCTTTTTTTTTCAAAACGTTACCCCCACACTAGGATTTTCTCGTGTGTCGTGGAGGCAGTTTACAAACATAAATTGCACAAGGACAAACATCCGGACCCGGAACAATTATTTGTAGGCCATACAAATACTTGTTCCGTGCGGGATTCGAACCCGCGGCCCCCAGCGCAACAACTGATTGCTAAGCCACTGCGCCACGGAGCCGTCATCATCTTTATATGTAAGGTTGTGCTTTTAATAAAAACAGTAACACATTCTTCTAACCTGTAAGAATATGGCGGAAGTAAAAAATGTACAGTCCTATTGTCGCTTAACGTTCTCCCGTAGACCAGGGAAATGATGTGGGGTACTTGGGAACAAGTCTCCAGACCATGGCGTTTAGCACACGCCGTCAGCTCGGTAATATCCCGCGGTTCCAGGAGCTTGCCCCCGAGACGCATGTCCTTTACGCACTGAAGGTCGATGAACCTGGAAGAAGAGATTCATGAAACAAAATCGAAAAAATCCAGCTTATGTCAGGCTGATTTGAAAAGTTAAAAAGGTTTCGATTTCCCTCACGGGTTGTTCTCAAATACTGGTTTAACATCTGGACGTGTTGGTTGGAGTTGTTTAATTTCAGGTTACGTACGTATTTGGTTTAGTTTCAATACGTAGTAAACCACTTTTCAGCTATATTATGGTTGTGGCGCGAGTTGGTCGACTCGACCGGTGCAGGACCACGCTCTCACAGAATACCAGGGTGAAATAGCAGCTTAACGCTGTTGTGTTTCGTATTGTGAGTGTAGAGAACCGGAGACCCTTTTTACTGGAAACAAGGCGTTCCATCTTATTCCTCACGGGTGGCAACACATCTGCATTTTGATTCTTAATCGAGGATAAATGTAGATGTCTATGGGCCACAACATTCACTTACCATAAGGTGGGCTGTGTGCTCGCTTTTCACCCTTATTATATATATATATATATATATATATATATATATATATATATATAAAAAGATTAAAGCTTACCCTTCGTCCCCAACGATGCCCGCTTCATTTTCGTGTGCTAGATTCATCGTGTATTTGATCGGTATGACTTCCTCGGGGTTGTATGATAGATTGATTTCAGGCTGTTGCACACTCTCCGATGGGGTTTCTCCTGTAACAATAAGATATTAAGATATATGAACTATGATCCAATCATTTGGAATATTGCTCTTCATATTGTTGATGTTCAATGAGGTCCACGACTTTTTCTGCTACCAGGGCGTCACTACTAGGTGAAATATGTAACATATTTCATAATGGCGAAAGTTAATTTGTTAGAAAAGAGTAGAGATTAATGTTTGCTTCTGAAATATTAGTTATTACCAGAACACTACATATCATTACATACATTTTTAATTGCAGACGTTTCAGATGTTATGCACTTCCCCCCGTGACCATGGGTAGGTACTGCAAAGCACCCAAAACTTCGGGAATTGAAAATAAGTAAGTTAAAAGCGATAACATCGGTGAAATAGGTTTTATACGATATTAGTTATATTTTATACGAGCAATTTTCCCCGGCCTCACACGGGCGATTTCTGGAAGTTGACAACAGCGCCATTTGCCAGGTTCAAATGAATATCTAAACCATTTACACAAAAAAAAATCATCAAAACCGTTGGAGCAGTTTTAGAGTTTTAGCGAGACTAACGGACAGCAATCGATTTTATATATATATAGAGATTAATTAGATTAGAAATGGATAAACCGCTGAACTTAAGAAATGTGGAAAAAATTATATAATACAGCACTGAGGCACTGTTCTGTGTTTATACATTATACATACACTAGAAACTGAAAAACTTTTATTTAAAATGCAATTTTTATGACAATGTGTCACCATCTGCTTAATAAACACGTTCACCTTCACGTTCTAACTAGCGACATTTGGTAAGCGTAACATTATCATCACTCTTTATTTGCTCATAACAGAGACAGAGAATTTTTTGGGAACCAGTGGTAAAAGTAAAAAATAACTCAATAAGTATTATGTACTATAATCTATATTGAATAAAAATTATTCTATTCTATTCTATCCTATTCTATCCTAATCTATCCTATTCCAACCTATACTATCCTACACTATCCTATTCTATCTGTACACGCCCTGAGCTGCCCTAACAAGGGTAGACTATACTAGGGCCCATCAGTAGCCCAATCGAAGGGCAGCAGAGGACGGGTTCCAACGGCCTATGGAGACTTATCATTCTACACAATAGATATAAGGCTAGGTAAACAAATAGTACGTACCTGGTTCCGAAGCTAAGACTGCCCCAAGGCTCGGTTAGGCGGTAGGTAGGTGTAGGTGCATGTAAGTGGTGTGTAGTAGTGTTTATATATGTGACCTGACCAAACTGAGGTGATCGGGCAGCGGCCTGGTCCGATGCTGCCCCACCATGTTGTATCACTCCAGCGGACGTCACCAATTGACAACTTCTTTCTTCATTTCACTATTTCTGGTATCAACTTTATTGTACATTTAACTAACTTCAAACTCAACTAATTCAACGTTTATCGTAAAATCAAACACGTGACACCCGACACAAGTAACGAACAGAAGTTCAAAGTTCAATATTCAATGTTCCGGATTAATTTATCACCAAATTACAAATAGGGAACTAACGCGATCTCTTCTCGAGTCACAAAGTTCAGCGTTACAAACAACAAACTAAATTCCTTCGTTCGATATTAAATACTACGCCCGCATTAAGAATTCAAAATCCGCCTAGCTGACACGCAAACTAACTACAGAGTCAACACACAAAAGGTTCTTAACGCAACGGTACAATTGCAACGAAATTACTCTAATCACTAAAATTCAATACAAGCCTCTTGTCACGAACGTACAACTTAGACAAACTAATCCGAGGCGGTCTCCAGGAAACCACAAATTCATTAGCGAATTAAACGCGCACAAATACTTAAAATCTAGACCACAAGCCCAAAACTGGTCGCGCGAAACCGCTGCAGCGGTCATCACAAAATACGTTAATCGACTGCGATCGACCTACTGGTCTCGCCCACGAGCGCCGAACGCCGGGAAGCTGCATACCGCTGCACCCCCCCCCCCCCGGCGAGGCGCACGTCACCTTACACCATCGGGCGATTCGCTTGGTCAAACGCGATTTGATGGCGTTTCAAATGACCATGTTTGGGCCTAAACACTATCCTATTCTATCCTATCCTACGCTATCCTATCCTATCCATATCCCATTCTATCCTATTCAATCCTATTCTATCCTATTCTATCCTATCCTATCCTATCCATATCCCATTCTATCCTATTCTATCCTATTCAATCCTATCCTATGCTATCCTATCCATATCCCATTCTATCCTATTTAATCCTATTCTATCCTATTCTATCCTATCCTATCCATATCCCATTCTATCCTATTCTATCCTATCCTATCCTATGCTATCCTATCCTATCCATATCCCATTCTATCCTATTAAATCCTATTTTATCCTATTCTATCCTATGCTATCCTATCCTATTCTAACTGTATCCTATTCTATTCGCGTAACACACATCATACCCTCGAATAGACAACCTCCTCTTTTTTGAAGTCGGTTAAATCGGTCGGTCGGTTTTATGACTATGGACCAGTGGAAATGGGTTAATGGGTTCTCTTACATCGTCCTTACATACCGTGTTGTGAATGTGGCCGATGAGCTGTGCGACACCAAGTTAGAAGGGCGCAAGCGCGTTCCAGCCTCAAGTGAGCGAAGGTCCCGCACCATTCCGCTTCACCCACCACACACGCGGTACCATGGTGCATTACCTAAAAGGATAATAATAACAATGTAGAACTTGTAGACAGATACTATGTGGTGTTACCATGTGTGTTGGCTCAAATTCCGGGGTCGGGTAAAAATCAGTAGCTGGATATTTCTGCCAAGATATTCTCAGTAGCAGTTCGCAGTTGGAAGTTGAAGGTGTACTTTACTGTCCAGGAAAACACGTAACTCCGGTCATACCGGAATGCTGTCCCTACGAACTATTAGAGTGGGAAAATTGAGAGTGCACCTGTGCTTGCGCATACACTCATGCAATTTCATCCTGGCTTGCACAGACGGCTAGTCTCTGTTGAGACTGGCCGCCGTAACCGAAATTCTGTCTGGATGACACTATACGTGGTAGAAAATTTTGTATAGGTGGTAGAGCCATTCTACAGCTATATTGTGGTTGTAGCACGAATGAGTCGGCTCAACCAGCGTAGGAACACGCTCTCACAGAATACCAGCGTAAAATAGCAGCTTAGTGCTGCTGTGTTTCGAATGGTAAGCGACAAAAACCGAAGACATTTATAACCGATAACGAAGAATACCATCTTAATCCACAGGGGTAACAACGCATTTGCAGTTCGATTGTTGATCGCGGATAGATTTAGGTGTCTATGGGCACAGCATCTACTTACGAACTATTTATTATTTTTATAGGATAAGGGTGACAAACGAGAACACAGTCCACCTGATCGTAATTGGTTACTGTGACCCATAGACATCAACATCTATCCTCAATAAAGAATCAGAATGCAGATGGGACGACGCATCTGCAGGGGAGGACCCGTGAGGACTAAGATGGAGTGCCGCTTTTCCAGTAAAATGGGTCTCCGGTTATCTACACTCACGATACGAAACACAGCAGTGTCAAGCTGCCATTTTACACTGGTATTCTGTGAGAGCGTGGTCCTTCCCCGGTCGAGCCGACCCATTCGTGTTGCAACTATACTACTAATATAGCTGCAGCATGGCTCTACCACGTATAAACCAGTGGACTGTGTGCTCATCTGTCGCCCTTCTTTGTACATAAACTTTCTTAACATTAACTTGAAGAATTATAAGCGCAGAAAGCAAAAGTCTCCAAACTAACTTGTAAAACATGTCTGTCCATTCTTTCTCCATTCTGTGGTGCTAGAGGAAACATGGTCACCCCATGATCGTGTGGTAGGGGTTGGACAGGACAGTAGCCTCCCCCTTCCAGTTCGTATAAGGCCTCGTTCTCAAAGTCGCTGCCCGTGGTTTTCTGAGATGGTTGTGCGAAGACCGGGTCTTCGCATGCTGTGATTGCTGTTCTGAAATTAGAGAGTAGTTTAGATTAGGTAACGTGATTTATTCTATTTATTTGTATTTATCTTCCCTTACCACCTCAACCAGCATCGGAATCCTCGGCGTCGACATATCGAATGACGTATGGTACCGCGGTCACTTGGAAGGGAAGGCCCAACTGGTCTCTAAAAAGCTTGACGTGCTCAGCAGAGCTGGACAGTATTTCATGCCGCCACACCGCTTGCAACTTTACAAGACGTGGGTTAGGCCTCACATGGAATACCGTTCCATCTCTGGGCCGGACTCCCCAGTGCTAGCTACTTCCACTTGACTGCATCCAGCGCAAGGCGGCTCGAATTGTTGACGATCGAGTTCTTTGTGATAGGTTCAATTTAAATAAGTCCACAATTGACGAAGATATCGAGTAACATGCAAATGATTATAATTCAAAATGACAACCATTTTTACCATGTATTTAGTCTTAAGCTTGTTAAATATAAAGTTACAAATATCTAACTCAATGAGAATTTAATGTCAATTGCTAAATTTGTATGTGCAAACGAACAGACATACAGACAAGAAAGTCAGTTAATATTGAAATGTCATCCAGGTCTGAACTACATTTAGTGTCAAGTCTCCAGCTCATCGGGGAGATAGTTAGAACAGACAAGCTAGTAGTACCAGTTACTCGACTCCGTCAGTAATTCATTCTTGTGTCGATGTATTCGCTTTTACAACAAAATCCCAGAAAATATACAAAATTTGACCTGTTCAAAGTTCAAAATCTATTAAACTAAGTTTGTATAAAAAACATTAAATAATTTAAGGATGATAATAACATTTAGGTATAAGGTGATCGCCACCAAACTATTTCTAATTTGTTTTGTGTTGTTAATTATGTAACCTACATGATTGTAAGCAAAGACGTGTTAAAAAAGATAGGTTACACACTAACATTATTGTATTTTAAAGTGGCGTAGGTAGTACTATATCTACGTACAGTTATTTATTATGACACAATGCGCTAACAAAAAGAGACAAATGATACGGCATACCTATCGTTAGAAAAAGATGAATATACATCATTAGTTGCGTATTGATTGCTGCCGAGCGCTCATTAGCGCGAGCGCGTGACATACCGATATGGAAATGAACACACTAGCTAGCGTCAAAGTTTACACTAGCGGTTAGTGTTGAAATAATAAAACCAATTATGAACAAATCATCTATATTCAAAATATTAATGAGACGTTTTTCTTGTCTCTGACAGTTGTCGTGTAATTTGTGCACCATCTAAAAACACAGGAAGGCATTTTTGCCACGAATAACTAGAAGATTTACGCGCTGTTGCGAAGGAATAGCCGTGATGCGAGAGCATGCCCGACTGAATGCGAGTCGGGCAATTACCTGACTTTCGTATTGCCATTTTAGAGCGAGTATGACGTACGTCTATACTTTTAAAAACATCTTTGATTGTAATGGACGCTTGGGGCTTGAAGACGTTTGCCGAGGCTTAGCAAGCGTGGAAAGGCACCAAAGCTGTATTTTTTAAAGACCCGCTGGGTTTCTTACTAGTACTTTCCAGGACATGTTTTTTTCGAATCAGTGGTAATTAAATATTTTAAAATTAAAAATTTTGTACAGCCGACTTCAATATAAGTTATTACGAATAACTCAAAAACTATTGATCTGACCTTGATCAAATTGACCTTGACCACACGAGAAGTACCAGCTTTCAATTAAAAAAAGAATCATCGAAATCTGTTCACCCAGTAACAAGTTATGAGGTAACATACACATAAAAAAACATACATTCGAATTGAGTACCGTCTCCTTTTTGGAAGTCGGCAGACAAAAGAGTGTCTTTCGATAAGTGTTATTTATATTTATAATGTATATTGAATAAAAAAGTTACTGTTTCTGTTTAATAGCAATATTTGTACCGAACAAACTAAGGATAGCGAGTTAATAAAACGTCGTTATAAAAAAAATAACATACATTCGAACTAATAAAATAGAATATATTCTATTTTTGAATTGAATTATTATATTTGATATGAGTCTGAGAGATGACTTCATACTTGTGCCATTTGCTGTAGTGACTATCGGTCCATGGGGTCCACGTGCGGTGAAGTTCGTAAAAGAACTCTATCCGCGACTGGTCGTCGCTGCCGCTGATAAGAGGGCTGGTTCTTTACTCGCTCAAGGGCTTAGTATAGCCATTGAGCCAGGAAACGAAGCTAGCGTTCTTGGTATTATACCACGGGGAGTAGGAATGTATGATAATTTAAGTATGTTTTTTAATTATTGTATTTTAATAACTGAGTGTAACTTAAACTTCTTATTGAAAGTTTTTTTTTTTACTTTTATCACTGGTTCGGAGAAAACCTCACTCCTGAGAAGAACCAGTAAGAAACTCAGCGGGACTTTCATTTTAAAGTAATATTTTACAATAAAATATTAGTTATACAAACTACTTACAAAACTTATTTAAGCAACAGCTTGGAAGTGACCACCTCATTCATTCCCAGGGGTTATGGAGATTGTCATTGTTTTTAACAAGATTTTATTATAATTAATAGAATCAGGCGTTACTTTGCGGAAATCCATTATATAAAAGCATTTACAAAAATTTACTTCGCAAATATCCGCGTTATAAAATAAAATGATGTGTCTTACCTAGTAGTGGTGACGGGGATAGTGCACGCAATTGAGGGAGGGCGGGAGGTGCTCTTCATACTAGGTAAGACACATCATTTTATTTTATAACGCGGATATTTGCGAAGTAAATTTTTGTAAAAGCTTTTATAAGATTTTATTAGCTTCGTGTTTATCTTTCTATCTATCTATGTAACGGAATCTTTTAATGTAATTTTAACCAACTTGTAGATGGCCGATTGACTTGAAAATTTGGCTCACCAGTATAAAATAAAATAATTATATCTTCCGCGTGTTTTTATTTAGTTTTCAAAATTATAATTTATTTTGAAGTCAGGTTATAATATTATCATCCAAGTTACATCGACTATAAACACAGAGATAATAACAAAATACCTCAGGTAATCCCCAAAAACGGGCGGTGCAGTTCTGGCCAGTGCGTATCTATGCTGGTGGAAACTTGCTATGTGGTCCATGACCGCTTGCGTTCTGTACACCTTCTCCAAGTTCACCATGCCCTCTGGTCCCACTCGCCTCCAGCCTGGTGCCTGCTCACCCTCCTCGTCAAATGACGCTATGTACTAAAAAGTTAAATTAACATGTTAAGAGTATAGGAAAAATTACGTGGTACAGCCACGCTGCAGCTATATTATGGTTGTAGCACGAGTGTGGCGGCCCGATCGAAGAAGGACCACGTTCTCACAGAATACCAACCTGCAATAGCAGTTTAAAGCTGCTATATTTCGTATGGTGAGTGTAGAGAACCGGAGACCCTTTAACTGGAAACGAGACGTTCCATCTCAGTCCTCAGGGGTGAGAACGCATCTGCATTATGATTATTAATTGAGGATAAATGTAGATATCTGTGGGCCACCCACTCACCGACAGGTGGACTGTGTGCTCGTTTGTCACAATTAAATTAAAAAAAAATCGGTCGAAAGGAAACTACTATCGATGCAACCAATATACACAGAGTAAATAATAATCCATAAAACTTATTCTCTTATTAAAAAAAAACAATTAGGCCGTTGTTGAGTAGTGGTGGATCAGGGGTTAAGCGTTAAAAATTCACATTACACGAGCAACCCAGGTTTAATTCCCGCCGGCGCTAATAAGATTGTTAAATGTAATTTCTGAGCTGATTTACCACATGCTCGGCAGTGAAAGAAAACATTGCGGAAAAATCTACGACTGAAAATTAAAAAAAAAACGAAAATATGCGAAGTTCATAAACAAGCACTTTAGTAACCGTTACCGTTACAGCCTATTGAAGTCCGCTGCTGAACATTGGCCTCCCCCATAGATTGAATCATAGGGGGGATATTTGCTATAGTTGTAACATTACTGTTAATTTGAAAATTTCACCTCTCAGTGGGTTATGTGCTCCTGGTAGATTATCTTCTATACATCCATCCATTACAGCCTAAGTCCACTGCTGAACATAGGCTTCCCCCATAGATTGCCTCATAGGGGGGATATTTGCCAAAGTTGCCACGCTTGGCAAGTGAGTTGGCAACCGCAGTTATCCTGATGTGTTTCCCTCAGTCGCCTCTTACGAAACCCACGGGATGATATGGGGTAGTGGATATTCTTACACCACCATGTAAAACTACATGGTAAATTCTCCATAACCCTCTCAGAAATTAGAGGAGGCCTGTGCCAACCAGTGAGACATATAAAGACTATATTAAAAACCTTTTTATGTTTTTTTAGTCAACGGAACCACTTACCACTTGTCTGTTAGTCTCATTTAATCTCGAGTCCCGTTTGAAACTGTCCCTTAAAGGACTTGCTGTGGTACTCTGGTCCGTCCTCATACCGCTTTCTCGTCTACTGCTTTCTTTTTTTAGCGAGCTTCTGCTATAAAGAAGAAAAAGGAAACTTAATAAATATTGTTAAAGAAAATGAAAAAAGAAAGAAACATTTATTACAACACGCCGTAAATATCATAAGGCACTTAAAAAATAGTAAATTAAATATTTTATTGATATCTGTAATGGTGAGTTAAGTAGCTTAATAATTCCATCAACAATTTATCCACCATTGGCCTTTTACCATTTGTAGACATATCAATTAAAAATAGTATAATAAAATTAAAAAAAAAAAACAGCAACAATTTGACGAATATAACATTTAAAATGTATGTATACTTATAACTTACAACTTAACAAGTGGTAAAATAAAAAATGTTGTACAACCGACTTCAATATAAATGACATGTGAAGTTCGCCAACACGCATTGGGGCAGCGCGGCGGACATTCCTTTGTCCTAACACCTTCTCACAAGTGAGAGAGGGCCTGTGTTCAGCAGTGGGAATTGTATAGGGTTGTGACTTATTTTTTTTTTAATCAGCAAAGATATAGCTATTAGTACTGGATGATACCCGTCACAGATTCTTACGTAACTGAGGTTCATTAATAACGCCCAAGTGCTAAGCGCAACCCCACTTCGCGTTATGCTGAATAATTTATAGCGATTTAAAAGCGGAAAGATTTCAGCCATGATCCGTAAAAGACTTAAATAGCAATTATTTAGTATATTACCAGTCCACTACCATTAGATTTATGTTCGGAAATTCGGTATATTTCGCATATTTCGGTCTTTTTTATGGAATAACGGTGACAAACGAGCACATAGTCCACCTGCTGGTAAGTGGATGCAGTGGCACATAGATATCTACATTTATCCTCGATTAAGAATTAAAATGCAGATGCGTTGTCACCCCTGAAGACTAAGATAGAATGCCTCGTTTCCACTAAAAAGGGTCTCAGGTTCACACTCTCCATACCAAATACAGCAGCATCAAGCTGCTATTTTACGCTGGCATTCTGTGAGAGCGTGGTCCTACCCCGGTCAAGTTGACCCATTCGTGCTACAACCAAAATATAGCTGCAGCGTGGCCCTACCATGTATAAACATTAATGAAAATGGTGGTACTAATTTTCAGCTTAGGTCAGTCTGGGTAGATACCACTTTCTCAAGTATTTCTGCCAGCAATTAGCACTGCGTGCATCGTTGTGCTATGCTATGAAGGTTATAGGGAGCCAGTACAATTACGCACTAACAAATTGCACTGTCATATATATATATACCTAGTCAGGTCATAAATTCTGTCACATGTTTAATATAAAATAATTGAAACAAGTTTATTCATTATGTAACCATTTATATACCAAAATGAACTTAACAAAACATAGATTCTTATGACACTAAAGTTTATTCAAAATGACCTCCGTGATTTTGAATACAGGCCTTCAATCTGCGCGGCCAGTTGTCTATCGCAGCACGAACGAGGTCCATGTCAATATCGGCGGCTGCCTTAATCAAGGATGTCTTTAGTGACTCCAAATTGGGATGAGGCTTTGAGCACGCCTTTTCCTCCAAGTGTTGCCATATCTTGTAATCTAACGGATTCAAATCTGGACTGGAGGAGGGCCAGTCTTCGTGCCGGATGAAGTCGATTTCACGCGCCGCCAGCCAGTCTTGTGTGCTCTTCGCTCTATGAGCTGGCGCCGAATCTTGTTGGAATACCCAGTGCCTGTTATTGAACATGGTATGAGAAACAGGTTCCACAAGGTTCGTCAGGACTGTATTTTGATACACAACTGCATTCGTTTTTACACCTTTCTCACAAAAATGTACCTCTGTTAAGCCCCAATAAGAAACTCCCAACCATACCATGAGCGAGGATGGAAAATGACCTCGTTGGACACGCGGAATACGGTTGCTCGCTTCTTTACTACTGTGTGCGTACACCTTATCATTTTGTTTGTTGTAGCTCTCTTCTGCGGTAAAAATTTTTTCATCCGAAAAAAGAATTTCCCGATATTTTTTTCCCGCGTACCGCTTCAACAAAGCGCGGCATCTCTTCAGTCTCAGGTCCATTAGACGAGCATTCAAACGATGTCCTGTTTTTCTTCGATATGCCCGAAGCCCTAAGTCTTCATTTAATACCCTTTTCACCGTGGTTCTGTTTAACCCCATCTGAAGGGCCAACAGTTTCTGCTTACGTTTGGGATTTCTTTGAATTCGCGCCTTCACAGCTTTTATCACTGCTGGAGTCCTAACAGACCGAGGGCGACCACTTCTTGACCTGTCATCTACACTAGAGTCTTCATTGTATTGTTTGATGGTACGATAAACCAATCTTTTGGTTATATTCAAATTTTTCAGTATGTCAAAAATTTGAATTGGCGCGTAACCGCTACGATGCAACGCAATAACTGCAACACGGTCTCCTTTAAGCGTCCACTCCATATTTAAAAATGAGTAAAATTCTAAAAAGTATACAGTTTTATTTTCATGAATAATTCGAAATTCGAATTCAATAAAGTTTTTTGTGGCCAGCATTCTAAAAGAAAAGTTTTTACTGTGTGACAATGCTTATGAAATGACTAGGTAAATAAAACTAATTGTTTCAAGTGTGTTCGTCCTTGTGAAATTTATGTAAACTGACTTTACGATACAGGAGAAAATCCTAGCGTTAAGCTAACCTTTTTCAAAGAGAGAAAAACTTTATTTACCTGTCTTCTTTAATTGAATCCCGTTTGAACTCTCTTCTATGGGTGGGCGTGGAGGTCATTGACTGACTGGTCAAAGATGGCGTTGCCGCCAATATCTCTCTGCAACAATAAATAAAATAATTTAATCATTGATATAACTTGTCGAAGTGTTTACTACTCGTAATTATCAGGTGAAACTAATTTTATGGATTTCATTGCTAATATTAACTTATTTTAAATACCCGACGTTTTGCACCCATGGCCTCTGTTTTTTATAGAAAAGGGGGCTAACGAGCACGCGGCTCACCTGATGGTAAGTGAGTACCGCCGTCCATGAACAACCGCAATACCAGGGCGAATTGCAGGTGCGTTGCCAGCCTTTTAGAAAGGTGTAAACTCTTTTCTTGAAGATCCCTAAGACGTATCGGTCCGGAAAAATCGCCGGTGGTAAACAATTCCACAGAGAAATTGTGCGAGAAAGGAAACTTAGTAAAGCGTACAGTGGTGGACCACCAAGTATCCAGATGGTGAGGATGGTATCGTGAATATCGACGCGATGTGCGTTCGTGAACAATTGCTCAGAGCACTCCCCGTGGTGAAAAAATGCAAAAGGTTGCAAGATCCCTACGCAGTGCCAGTGTATCGAGTCGATCAGAAATAACTCGTTCGTCGACGATTCGAACCGCTTTGCGCTGGATGCGTTCAAGTGGAAGAAACTGGTACTGGGGTGCCCCAGAGATGAGTACAGTATTCCATGTGAGGCCGGATTTGTGCTTTGTAAAGTTACAATTAATGTGCCCGCATAAAATATTGTCTCGCTCTGCTGAGCATGCCAAGCTTTATAGAGGTCAATTTGGCCTTCCCTTCCAAGTGACCACGAAACTGCACACTATTCCATATGTCGACGTCGAAGATTCCGATATTAGCTGAGGCAGCAAGGGGAGTGCCTTGAAACTGAGGAGATACTACAAAACAAACTTGTGTCTTCTGGGGATCAAACTGGACTACATTTAGTCGCCCCCAATCCGAGACTTTGTACAGTAAAGACTCGACTTCAGACACAAGTTTGTCCCGGTACTAGGCGACGCCAGTATCGGTGCTGTCATCTGTATATCAATGAATTTACCAGACCAGAAGATCACCAACTAACTGACCCCGACGAAAACCGTATTGGCGGTTACTAATCAGTTGGAGATCCTCAAGATATCTCATGAGCTGACTAAATATATAATAAATAATAGACTCAATTATTTTGGAGAACAAGAAGGCGATTGTGATAGGCCTTAGTTGCACGGGTTTGAGCGGTCGCCTTTTTCAGGGATCGGGCGGACCATAGCTGCCTTCCACGAATTCGAGACTACGCCTTGGAAGTAGGAGTATCGGAAAAGACGCGTTAAAACCGGTGCCAACTTCGGAGCACACGTATTCAGCACAATGGGAGGGAGTCCATCAGGCCCATTAGACTTGCTGACGTCCGGGGAGACGAGTGCTTTGCGATCCGAGCGCTGTGTAAACCGCTCATCCGACATGGAGCACTCACGCCGCGGGATGGTTGGCGGTGTGATCCCCCGTCATCGAGAGTCGAGTTGGACGCAAAGAGAGAGCCTAACAGATCGGCTTTCCCCTTTGCGGCATGGGTTAGTGAGTCGTCCTTTTTGTGCAGAGATAAAAGAGATGGCTGACAGACGTTCCCTTGGACAGCCTTGGCGGGAGACCAGAATGCACGGGTTCCCGAAGGAAGGTGAATTAGTTTCTCGCCAATTCTGCCGATGTGCTCAGACCTTGCCTTGGCAATGACTCTTTTGAAGGACTTGAGAACTCACTCTCTCTCTCTCTCTCTCTCTCTCTCTCTCTCTCTCTCTCTCTCTCTCTCTCTCTCTCTGGTCACGGTGGGACTGAGAGACTTAAAATTATAAATTTTTGAATAAAACTACTTTTTACGGATTTTATCGCGTTTAATTAACTTATTTTATATTCCCGACGTTTCGGTTGCTTTCCAGCAACTATGGTCACGGAGTTTTACTCAATGTGTAGTGTTCGCGTAAATATAAGAAATCATTACTAATTTTTGGTCCGATTTACGCAGAATGGGCTGATATTATCTTGAAGCATGGATTGATTGCGGTTAAGGTATAAGGTTATGTTACCGGCATAAAATAACGGTAACGTTATTTTTAGGGTTAACGTGATAACTGAAGTCATAGTGGTGACAAAAAGTATCTGTTTGTGTAACCAAAGTATTGAATAATACGACTTTTACGGATTCTATCGCGTTTAATTAAATTATTTTTATTAATTCCCGACGTTTCTAAAACTAGAGGTAATGTAGTATATTATACAGAATGGAAAGCGATAACAGCCCTGTGGGTCACTGAAATATAAACTGTATACCGAGAATGAGGACGTATTTTTCTGCCACCAGGGCGGCATAACTTTGGAATATTTGACAGATTTCACGGCGTGGTATGTTAATTTAGAAACGTGTAGAGATTATAATGTTTCTTTCTGAAATAATTATTAGTTATGTTTTATATTAATAAGATAAAAACAATAGATAAAATATGCAACTATTCTTAAAAGTACAAGATTTAAAAAAAAAGTTAAATATGTAAAAATATGTAAATGTGTAAAAAATCAAAGAATTACACTAAGGCATTTTTTTGAGTATATACGTACACTAGAAACCGAAAAACCTATTTAAACCGCAAGTTTTTAATGATGATTACTCTGTGTGATCATTTCCGTCATAAATCACCTCAGTACAAACTAGCGACATCTGGTAAGCGTCATTATGAACCCTCTTCATCGATTGATCGGTGTAACATTCCTTGAAAATTTATTGAATGCCATGCAGCCTAGTAGTTGACTGAAATTATTATTAAATTTACTAAATAATCACAAAAACATCATATAAAAACAAAACTTTATAAACATAATAAAAATAATATCGACCCTGCCAGGATTCGAACCTGGAATCTTCTGATCCGTAGTCAGACGCGTTATCCGTTGCGCCACAGGGCCGGTGCTTGCTACTATGAATTTTAAGATTATATATATTATTATTTTCATTTGAAATTAGGTAGAGCTATAGAAGATAACTTCTTGTCTATTCTTAGATCTATTGATATTTATATACTTACATTATTATTTACAATTTTTAACCGACTTCAAAAAGGAGGAGGATGTCAGTTTGTGTGTATTTATATTTTTTTGGTATTAATCAACAAACAAACAATTTCCGGCTTGGTAGGGCTCTATAAAGAGAAAAGTTTTTTCATTGGTCATTGTTACTGCCGTTATGTAGACACTAGTTACGATACGTACATATAAAATTTAAATAAGGTGCGTGCAATCACTCTGGGAGCTCGCAGCAAACTGAACGTGCGCCCAACATGTGGACGCGCCGGCCAATACTCTGCCACAACCCTTTGATCTTTTGTAATAAACCGACACCAGACGGATCTCGCGCCAGCTTGTGGGCCATCGTTCCAATACGTACCAACGTAGCTTAAACACCCGCTCTACACGATGGCCATCGTTGTTGGCCAACACATTAGCCAGTATGTTGGCCAACTTGAAGTGCCGCCGTGACGCGATCAGACGGTGGCCGCCGCGCAGTCAGTTGCAAATTTTTACAACAGGCCGCGTGAACCGCGTGAAAAATGATGCTAAATTCAGAAATTTCAATAGAAACTGCAAAATTATCTAGTACTTTATAATAATTCGCATCGTGATTACGCAAGCATTAAGATTAAAAACAAAATATATGTTAATATTACTGAGTATAATAAGACTTCGTCACGATTAGCCGTGTTTACTGACATCCAAACTAACTAATAGTGTGTTAAAACTCCAACGTCCAAAATAACAATGTGGTTATTCGCCACCGCAAGCCGCATCGTGTGTGAGACGCTTTAGAGATTGCGGGCTTAAACTTAATTAGTCTGTGCTATAGAAAGGTACTCTGTGCCTCCTTCCACGCGCCCCGCACTGCCCCACAGAAGCGTATTGGTACGTAATGTACCTACATATTACTTCAATGACTCTAATAAACTTTTTATTAACTTAAATGATAAATTTCTAGCCAGTAAGCTAAATACATCCTATAAAATGCATTTTTTTTAATTCTTGCTACTGTGAAATGTCAATCAGTCAGACATTTAAAAGCGGCCAGTATTTCAGTCTTGACAGTTGTCAGCGCAAAGCGTACGCAAAATAAAATAAAGCGCGCCAATTCCCGCCATCGCTGTGTTGGGCATCGCTAAGTAATTAAAAAAATAACACATTGCGACGTGGCTCTCGCTTCGTTATAGGTTTTTTTATTTTTACGAAAATACCGGTGACTAACGAACACACAGTCCACCTGATGGTAAGGTGATACATTAAGAACCATACATTAAGAATCCTCGATTAAGAATCAAAATACAGCGTTGTCACCCGTGAGGACTAAGATGGAATGCCTCGTTTCCAGTGATAAGGGTCTCCGGTTCTCTACACTCTCCATACGGAACAAAATAGCATTAAGCTGCTATTTTACGCTGGTATTCTGTGGGAGCGTGGTTCTACCCAGGTTGAGCCAACCCATTCGTGCTACAACCATTATATAGCTGCAGCGTGGCTCTACCACGTTTTAAATGTGTGTGTGTTATTAAATAACAATTTTCTGTATGATTGTACCCTACATTTTGTCTATATACTTCAAGTATACTTTCAGACAATACTACCTGAGAAATATCGCCTACGTAGTGACGTCAATGTAACCAAATATCCTTAACTAGCTGTGCCCCGCGGTTTCACCCGCGTCATCACGTGTCCGAGGTGCGCGACATGACCTAGTTCAAGCATTTTATAACGGCTAGGGTTTAAGCGTGGTTCGCGCGCTCAGCCAAGTATTGAATTATTTTAATTTTACATTACATTATCTCTTAAACTATGCGTCCAAATAACATGGTATAAAGAACAAAGTTTATCTTCATAAAATTGTCTTGATGTTCATCATCAACTAACCTAACTTTCGTTCGTAAGGATAAATAGGCCATGCCTAATAGTAACGCTCATAAATCACTTTTAAATTTTCAATATTTTTTTGTCATAAAATACCAAATTATGGCTTATGTATAAGAAATAGACATATGGTATCGCGGACTTTTTTTTACGTACATACGAACATTGTATTTACGTATCCCTAACGATAACACCAGCGTCCGCGGATAAATCATTTCAGGAGTGCTTTTTCTTCTGACTTGCTTAACAAATATCCATATTTAAGGCTAGCTGAGTAATATACCTAAATGCTAGATAGCCTATACTATTTCACATGGATTTGCCTATAATATACAAAAAGAATTTTTCAAATCGGACTGGTAGTTCCAGAGATTAGCGCGTTTAAACAAACAAAAAAATAAAAAAAACTCTTCCGCTTTATTATATTAGTATAGATGGTGCTATTGATTGCTCTGAATTACTATCCCTAGTTGGAATTTGTGACAAGAATAAGGAACGATTACGGAAAGTATATGTATAATACATAACTTATACAAAATGGCAATGTAGATATAGATATTTTTTCACACAGTGTCAATTTCAAGGGAAAATTGAAAAGCGAAATGGGTAACTTGTCAAAACTTATATATTAAATGATAATAATCATTTAATAACTATATTTGATATAATTTTATTAAGTGGTACTATTTGTACTATTTGTTAAATTTTTTATATTTTAGATGTTAATGTTTTGAATTTTATTGTTCTCTCTTTTCATCATTACCATTACACCCCTTCACAAGTCCACTTATGCTTAACTGCTGAACATAGGCCTCCCCCAAGGAATGCCACAAAGCACGGTCCTGAGCCACCTGCATCCATTGATCAATCCTGCATATCTTACCAGGTCGTCACTCCATCTAGTGGAGGGACTAGGGGGAGGTACGCTCGTTAGTCCCCACTTCTATATAAAAAAATTATAACGCAAACATGTCAGTTTAGGTAGGTAATAAAAAACGACTACTGCAATAAAACCTAATAATTTATTAACGATAAGAATATCCACTACCCAACATCATCCCGTGGGTGTCGTAAGAGGCGACGAAGGGAAACAAATCAAGACACAGGCAGCAGCGTCTTCCTAATAACGTATAAACATAAAAAATTGCAGTTATCAAGTCGCTTGCCAAGAGTGGCAACTATGGCAAATATTCTCTAAAGTTGCAATCTATGGGAAAGGCCTATGGTCTGCAGTGGACTTTAATAGGCTGTAGGAAATAATCTACCAGGAGCACATGATCCAGTGAGAGGTGAAATTTTCAAATCAACAGTAACATTATGTTCCGCAGCGGGCTTTGCCAAAAAAGATTCCGACCCAGGGTATGCTACCGCAGGTACTGCAGCAAAACTTACCTTAACTCTCTGAGGAAAGCACCGAAAAATGGTATGAGTCGACACTCGGGCATAGCGAGAGCTCGACCCAATGCTCGCTCGTACTCAGCTGAGAGCAGGGCAGCTGAGAGGAAGTCCAGGGCTGGCAGCGGCTCGTCAGATATACTGAACCAGAACGACTTCAGTTTGTGAGATCTGCAACCAAAGAAATCGAAACGTCAGTGTAAAATATTTTTTTCTTAATTTATTCCATTACTTTATTGAAACGACGGCTCCGTGGCGAAGTGGCGAAGTGTCAAGTAGCGGCGCTCATAGACGCGGGTTCGAATCCCGCATGGAATAAGTATTTGTGATGATTTATATTATATATTTGTGTTTGCGTCACTTTGCACTACCGCCTAATGCTTATGAGATTCGTTAATTAATATCCAATAAGAGTACTGCCAAGCCCATCTACTGTCTTTTATACCTTTAGCATGTGCACTCTTATGTTAAGGCGCAGGTCGAGCAAAATGTCATGTGAGAAAACGGACTATTAATTAATCAGCCCCCATAAGCACTTACAAATATACCGAATAAAAAAATTAATATACATTTATCGTTGTACGCTGTGTGTATTTCCATAAAATAGTTCGTACAATAGGTGGCGTCTTACATATTTCTTACGCAATATATTGTAGCGAGTCGGCGCACCGGCCGAATGCTCAAGGTCGTTCGCATGGAGTAGCCCCTTAACAGGGTTCGCATAAGTTCAGCAGACACGAAACCAACCGTATCGCTAATATCTCGCGCCATCGTAACCGCCTTTGTGTACCTAATTTAGATATTACACTATGCAAAATTATCGTAAATTGTATAGATATTTTTATTTAATTACAATAACGCTATATTTCGGGATTTTCGCTAAAAATATATAAAATTAAAGATATAAAAAATTTAAATCTTTAAAAAAACGCTTTTCAGTGTCCTAATTGACTAAATGATTTCTTTAGTGATGATTTTTTTTAATACCCAATAGTTAAAATTATAAAAAAATCACAGGATCAACAATTGGATGAATAATTTGCTTTACATAATTATGTTAACATAAATATAAATGTTATTACATTATATTTGATAATATTTATTAAATAATTTTAAAATTTGAATGAAAAAAGAACAATGAAATGTATCACTATTTATTTGTTTGAAATATTGCAACGTCATTAGTTAAAATGTATGTACAAAGTAAAACATAGTTATTATTCAATATATTTATGTCATAATTAGATTTCCAACATACTTAACTCTTTTCTCAAATTCTATATCCACTAATGTGTTGTTTACGTTCCATTTTTTTTTGTTATTTTTAGGTACTATAATAATTTACAAAGTATTATTCTTCTTAATAACTGGCTTTACGGCTCTGGGATCTAGCCCTTCTGAGCCGTATACTATGAAGTATACTATGAAGGATAATTATTATAATATATTATAATAATTATCCTTCATAGTATACTGCTTCACAATATGTTGATGCGTCACATTGTGCAGCCCTTGGGAGATTTTGACGGCAACTTGAGCCAGCAGACAGCTGACGGTTAGCGATGGTATCTCAAGGCGCCTAAGCAGACTGACACCTTATTTTGAGAATCACATCACCATCACCATCAGAGCACTTGTTTCACAGTTTCCACTAATAGTTCACATGCGCAGACACTTAATACACAAAATCGCACCACTTTTACATATCAAAGTCCACTTCAAACCATTATTTAAACAATAATATAAGAGCAGCAAACCACCGCCGATCAAGTTCCCGCTAAAACTTCCCAAAAGTATTGGTACTTCGTATACCCACAGAGTAGGACATAGTTGAACTTGATTATATAATAATGTATCTAACATCTATGTAATACCTATGATCCACGAAATAAATGATTATGATTATCTGTAACGTTTATATGTGTGAAGAAAGCCGGCGTCCAATCACCGTGGCTGCAGCCCTTGAGACACGAGGAAAATTGGTAGAGTCCAGGTGAGTGCACATGCATTTATTCACATCGTTCCTGTAGCCCGAATTTAGGACATCTGCAGTATCGCAAAATAGTAAACTCGCACCGCACCCTACAGTAAATTAATTTAAGTATAATCATCTTTTTAATAACTCCGAACCAACCGTTGGTCATTTAAACCAACACACCATTGTTTGGTCACTCCGACCGGGATAATTTTAAACAATTTGTGTAATTTTTTCTCATTCTTTCGCAGGCTAAATCCTATGGATGTATGCGTTTGTCTCTTTTTAGCATTACTTTTTCGTTCCATCGAGTTTCAAATAACAATAATTCTAAACAAGTTTTCACTTAAAAAAAAATCAATACATATTAACACATTAAAGATTATATCTTAATATGTTTTGATTATCTACTTTAATATTAAAAATATTGTATACTACAGGAGTTTTGGCGGGAACTTCACCGGCGGCGGGCCGCTGCTCCTGTATTATTGTTTGAAGTAGATTTTGATATGTAAATTTATGTATTAAATTTCAGCGAATGTGAATTATTAGTGGAAAAGGTGAAGCAAATGCTCCGATGGTGATTTGAATTACTATCACTAACTGTCTGCTGGCTCAAGTTGCCACCAAAATCTTTTAAAAACTACGCAATGTGACGCATCAACATATTATGAAGCATTGTCATCATCATCATTATCATCATTACAGCCCTTCACAAGTCCACTGCTGAACATAGGCCTCCCCCAAAAAATGCCACAAAGCACGGTCCTGAGCCACCTGCATCCATCGACTTCCTGCATGTCTTACCAGGTCGTCACTCCATCTCGTGGGGGGACGCCCTACACTTCGCCTGCCGGTACGAGGCCGCCACTCGAGAACCTTTCTTCCCCATCGGTTGTCGGTTCTTCGAGCTATATGGCCGGCCCACTGCCACTTCAGCTTACTAATCCGTTGGGCTATGTCGGTTACTCTGGTTCTACTGCGGATATCCTCATTCCTAAGTTTATCACGCAGAGAAACTCCGAGCATAGCCCTCTCCATAGCTCGCTGAGCGACCTTGAGCTTTCTCATACGGCCAGCAGTGAAGGACTACGTCTCAGTTCAAGTCATCACTGGCAACACGCACTGGTTGTACATTTTGGTTTTAAGGTTTTGAGGTATGTCTGACGAGAAGATGTGTCGTAGCTTCCCGAACGCTGCCCAGCCGAGTTGAATCCGTCGATTGACAAACACACACGCACGCACGCATGTATGCACGCACGTACGCACCCACGCAAACACGCACGTACTCACGAACGCACGTACTCACAAACGCACGCACGCACACACGCACGCTCGCACGCAAGCACGCAAGCACGTACGTACGCAAGCACGCACGCAAGCACGCACGCAATTACGCATGCACGCATTGTACTATGAAGGATTATTATCACTAAATACTGAGAGAAATGAAGACATGGCTTAAAATACATACATCCAAGCCAAAAATCTTAATAAAAACGTTGTATATTGACTACATACATTTAATATTCCTTATATTATTGTTACATTTTGGATTGGAACTTAAATTTTACATTTGCCTTTCAAATACGATGTAAACTTCATGTTTATAAATATTATAAATCAGCATATAAAAGCCAGGAGACCCTTACCACACCTATTACCAAGTTTAAGTATGTTATTAAGCTAAAACTGTTTAATAAGGGTTATTAAAATAATAAATGAACGTACACGGTTGATAATATCCTCTAGGAATGAGATGGTCGCTTCCAAGCTGTTGTAAAACCTGTGCTTTTATGGAATATTATACTTTAAAAAAAGTCCCGCTGGGTTTCTTTCTGGTTCTATCCAGGACAGAGACTTTTTTTCGAACCAGTGGTAAAAGTAAAAACCGACTTTAAATAAGAATTATTTGTAATCTATAGAGAATTATCATAGAGAATTATACTATTCTATTCTGTTCTACAGGCTAAGCTAGCTTGGGTGTACGTGTGCGTATTTGCGTGTGCGTATGCGTGTGCGAGCGCGAGTGCGTGTGCGTGTGCGTGTGTCGGCGTACGTGCATGCGTGCGTGCATGCGTAATTGCGTGCGTGCGTGCGTGCGTACGTGCGTGCTTGCGTGCGTGCGTGCGTGCGTGTGTGTATGTGTGTTACATTTACTCTCAATTAAGAATCAAAATGCAGAAGCGTTGTCACTCCTGAGGAATGAGATACAATGCCTCGTATCCAGTAAAAAGGGTCTCAGGTTCTCTACACTCAGCATGCGAACAGCAGCATTGAGTTACTATTTCACGCTGCAAATATACCACATTCGCGCTACAAACATAATATAGCCGCAGCTTGACTCTACCACGTAAAGCATGCGAGACGTCTGGTGCTGTTATCGTCAATCCTCTCAAACGTGACAGTCAAGACCAATCCTCCTAGCTACGGGAGTGGTCCATATCTAGCAGTGGAATTTTACTACCATCTTTACACCCTATGACCCTTCTTGTAGAAAACGAGGCATTCCATCGTAGTCTACAGGGGTGCCATTTTGACTCTTAATCGAGGATGGATGTGGTTGTCTATGGGCCTCAACATCTACTTACCATCAGGTGGTTTGTGTGCTCGTTTGTCACCCTTATTTCATCCATCCATTCCATCTTTTTCCTTCGCATTTACCACGGGGAGTGCTCCGAGGAATTGTTCGGATTAATCCCAGCCGCCAAATTTCACGAACGCACATCGCGGCAGAACTCCCGATACCATCCACACCATCTGGATGATTGGCGGTCCACCAGTGTGCGATTTAGAAGATCTTTTCTTCCTTGCACAACTTTCTTGTGGAATCGATTACCACCAGCAATTTTCCGGACCGATATGACTTAGGGACCTTCAAGAAAAGAGCCTACTCCTTTTTAAAAGGCCGGCAACGCATCTGCAATTCCCCTGGTGTTGCGGTTGTTCATGGGCGGCGGTAGTCACCATCAGGTGAGCCGCATGCTCGTTTGCCCCTTCTCCTATAAAAAAATGAAAACTGCATGCGGTGTAGGGAAATATTTATTAAAATATAAATTATAGATCATAACAACTTATCAAAGTCAACTGTTCAACAAAGGCCTCCCCCATAGACTGTCTCATAAGGGATTTTGCTATAGTTACCACGCTTGGTAAGTCGGTTGGCAATCGCGGTTTTTTTATAACTGGGTTATTA